ACCTTAAGGGAAAAATCCAAAAAAAAAAAAAAAAAAAAGAAAAGGTACACCACATGATATATCTTCACACTTTTTTTAAGAATTATTTTATTTATTTATTTATTTATTTGCTATAGGACACATGGGTTCACCAGAGAGAGAGAGAGAGGAAAACTAAGAAAGCAAGCTGCCAGGTTCAGGACTTGAACCGCGACCGACCATGTGGGAGTGCAGCGCCCTTAACCACCCCACCACTTGCCAGCCCCTTATGTACAATTTTTTAAAAAGACATCTAAATCAGTTACTTCTTTACACTTAATAATTGTCTCAAACTTATATCAAGTGAAATTTTTCATATCTTCCTCTAGTTTTTCACAAGCAAAAAATAAATGATTAATCACATATACTTTCCTTTTTTACCCATGAAAATGTTTAAAAAAACAAGGTCTTAAGTTTTTGCTATTAATATTTGTGTAAACTAGGGTACCACATAGAAGGGACTGTTTCAATATGAAGGAATCGTCTTCCTTCCTTTCCAACAAACTTTCTGGTCCCCCCTTTCATATTTAATTTTGATAGAATTATCCGTTGAGATAAAAAATCTGAGAAGATCTATGTATTACATATTGCTATAGATATTGCTCAACAGAAGAGTTGACTATTCTCCCTATTCAACTAAATGAAGGGCTTTAGAAATGTCACCTTTTTTTTAGGATTATTAATATAATTTTATTTATTATGATTATTTAATTTAATTTGATATAGGGTACTTGTCCTCACTAGAGAAAGGGACAGAGAGAGAAAGTGAAAGTGAGAAAGCAGCCTGCCAGGCCCAGGACTAGCCACGGTGGGCTCTATAGGAGTCCAGCCCCTAACTGCCACTCCACCTGCTGGCCCGACATGTGTTTTTTTTTTTTTTTTTTTTTAAGAGATTTTTTGCTATAGGGCGCGTGCGCTCGGCAGACAGACAGAGACAGAGAGACAGAAAGCGAGAAATCACCCCCAGGGGGGGATGGCCACACCGCAGTCTCTTCTCCTCCATTCTCCTCTCGGGAGGGATCTCAGGCACGCACACACACGCACCCAGCTTCAGTTTAAGCCACCAGGTCCGGGACTTGAACCGCCGTCGACTACATGGGAGTCCAGCGACATAGCCATTATACTAACCACTGGTCTCTCGACATGTCATTTTTAGAGAAAATCAGACATTTGAATTTTAGACCCTCAGCTGTGTACAGGTATGTATCATATTTACAAAGACTAAAGGACGTAGTTGAATCACTACTTGTTTCTGATTTTGGTTTTTAGCAGTCAGCCATTTCTCAATTACTTTACCAAGACAAACTTTTTACTAACATGATTTTCCTAGTGTGAGAGTGGTGGTGATTTATTGTTTTTGATGGATAAGGTATTTCTAATTCGTAAGATACACGGAAAAAAGCCACCTTCTCACCTTTGTGCAGAAATCACTTTTGGTTCCTTTTCCTGAAGGCAACATTTAGAATAATGTTTCCTTCAACATCAAATAAAAAAATAAATTCTGAGTATTTTATAAATTCTGTTTAGTTTACTCATTAATTTCTGCTCAAATTCTACAGAAATAAATGGTGACTGGCAAAAAGCTGATGCTGTCTGGAATAAAATGCAAGAAGAAAACATTATTCCTCGTGAGAAGACATTAAGATTATTAGCGGAAATTCTTAGAAACAACAATCAGGAAGTTCCATTTGATGTGCCTGAGGTAATTTGTTTGTAGCATACGCATAACAGATTTTGTCAGTATATTTTTAGGTAATAGAATAACCCATTTTTATACTTAGAAGATCACTGCATTTACCAGGTTTAGTTTAACTGAATAATTTTGTTTCATAGTTGTGGTATGAAGATGAAAAACATTCTCTGAATTCTCCACCACCTTCACCTGTAGAAACTAACTTCCAGAGAGATCTGTTGAATGCCTGCCAATTGAACAAAAGCAAAGGTAAACGTGGACATGGGGGTCTTCTTCCTAATAGCAATATGGGAGCAAGTCCAACAAATTAGATCTGCTGTAGCGTAGAGAGAGAACTTTAAGTTTTATGTGTTATCTTTTTTGATACTTAACAAAGACATTTAGGGGCAACTGGGAAAAATTAACTTTTGACTGAGTAATAGGTAACGATAAGAAATTACCCTTGGGACAGCCAGTGACATGGTGGTTGAGGCAGCCAGATTCTACATTGCAGATGTATGGTTCAAGTCCCCGATCTGACCTCTTGAAAAACATGTCAGGCACCTGGACATGCATGCCCAAAATCCCAAGATGAGAATGTGTCCATCCCTGGCAGGGAGCTTTGTCTGTCTCTTCTTAGTACTTCATACACCTTCTAGCAAATGATTTTTTTTTTTTTTAAAAATCACTTCCATCTTAGATGTGATAATAGTGTTATAAATTATGGGGAAATAGCCTTAAATTTTGTGATTTCTATGAAGTATTGGGAGATGAAAAAAAAAATCAAAATTTTTGTGATTTATTTTAAAATACTTAAGCCATAAGGCCAAAGAAAACAAATCTGACAAAATGTTACTGATTGTAGATAAGGTGATGGATGGAAGTGATAGATATATGAGGGGTGGGTTCATCATACTAATAAAAATTATTATTGGCTTTTTTCCCCCAAAGTTATCTTTTGAAAATAAATAAAAAGTATAATAAATTATAATTATTATTATACTATAATGAGTATCCCCACAATTTCTGGGGACATGTCACTATTATAAATGATCTAAAAACAAAAAATGATTAGGGCACTAGCTACCATACTCATGTGTATCGAAGTGGTCAAACAGTATCGCAGGGTTGGGGGCCTGTTACTCTTTTTCCCTTTTTCTAGTAGTAACTTTCCTGAAGACCCCTCTACCTCTGTTATGAGTACTTTAACAATTTATGTGGCTCTCTTTAACACTCTGATATGAATTTGCAAATTGGATTCTGTTTTTTCATTTAGAAATCCTTATACCCTTCCATAATCATTTGTTTCTCTGTTACCTCATATTTCTAAAAAAATGTGTTTATTTATTTATTTATTTGCTTAGGCGGTTTTAATTTCTTCTCTTTTAAATGTGGATTTCAAATATTGTTTTGTGACAATTTAACTATTAAGAAAATAATTATAGTGGATTTAAAACTTTTTTTATTTTAGTGTTGACTGTTTTGAGCTCTATCCAGTAGAAAGGATTCGATTTAGAACTTTTTAAAACTTGGGGCCAGCAGGTGGCCTGGTAGATAAGACTCTGGACTCCCATTGTCTGATTGCAGTTTGAGTCCCAGACCTGACAGCTTGCTTTCTCGTTTTTCCTCTGTCTTTCTGTTTCTGTCTCTCTCTGGTGAACACAAGTGCACTGTATTAAAATTTAAAAATAATAATAATTAATAAATAAATATTTTTAAGAATTATTTTTATTTAACTTTATTTGTTTGTTTTAATTTGATCAGGGGCTGGGGGGAGGGGGAGAGCCGCCTGGTCCAGGACTCAAACCACAGTTGTCCATGTGAGTGTCCATTACCCTTAACCACCATGCTACCTGCCGGCCCCATAAAATACTTTAAAAAATAACAAAACTTTGTGGACTTAATTTTCTGACATGACTAGAAATTTTGTGACACTAGCAAAAAATGTCTGAAGAATTGGCTAACTTCTTATGCTATCTCAATTATACAGAGTACAACGAATTTCTATTTTTCTGAGTCGTTTTCCTTTCTTGTATATTCAGCCTATATCTTTGAGTCTTTCACCATGTATCTGTTAAAACTAATTATAAAATGAATTCATTATAATTGTTAATATACCATGCAAATATTCTCATGAAATTTTGATTCGGCTAAAATGAATATAAGATTAATGTGTCGTTTTAGTTAAGAGTTCTGCTGCTCCTTCATATATTGCTATTTAAGTGAAAAATAAAAAACTGGGTAGCTAAATAAAATGTAATTTTAAAAATAAATGTAAAGATGTACCACTATTCTGGTTTTAATGAGAAATTGTCATCGATCTATTTGGTTTTATTTTGTTCTTTTTTCTTTATTTATTTTCTTTTAATTGTCAAAGGGTGCATGCATTCACCAGAGAGAGAGACAGGGGTGTGTGTGGGGGGGAGTGCCCCACATGTGGTATGGTCGTGCTGCAGTCCCTTCTCCATGTCTCTGTTCAGTCGTGGGGTGTGTGTGTGTATTGTGTATCAGATTTAGATACTTTGTAAAGGACGAATGCTTTGAATGCTTACATTAATTAGTACTTTTCTGATCAGTCTCTTTAAAGATGAATCAGTATGATTTTCATACCGAAAACAAATTTGTTTTCAATGGACTTGGTACATAACAATGTTAACTGAAAAAAATGAATGGGAAATAAACACAGTAATTTTAGGAAATAATTAGTAAGATTTTTTTAGTGGGGCTAGCAGGTGGTGTGGTGGTTAAGGGTGCTGGACTCCCACATGGTCGACCATGTTTTGAGTCCTAGACCTGGTGGCTTGCTTTCTTACTTTCTCTTTTTCTCTCTCGTTCATTTGCTCCCACTCTGTCCCTCTGTGGTCAAATTAAAATAAATACATACATACATGTAAATGAAAATAAGAAAAGAAAAATTTTTTAGTTGTATTTTGTTGATTTTTAAATATTCAAGTAGTACTTGTAAGTTCTCCTTCAACAGACTAGTGAACTATATGGCTGTTAGAAAGTAGACAGTAATGGGACCAGCAGTTAGCGTAATGGCTATGTTGCTGGACTCCCATGTAATCTACTGCAGTTCGAGTCCCGGACCCGGTGGCTTAAACTCACGCCAAGCACGTGTGCATGCGTGCCCAATATCCCAAGAGGAGAATGGAGGAGAAGGGATTGCAGCGTGGCCATCCCCCCTGGGGGGTGATTTCTCGCTTTCTGTCTCTCTGTCTCTCTCTGTCTGTCTGGCGTCCGCACGTGCTCTATAGCAAAAACCTCTCCAAAAAAAGAAGAAAAAAAAAAAAAGAAAGTAGACGGTAATTGCATTACATTTTAACTTCTTAGCCCCCTTAAGAAAATATATGCATTCTGTACTAAATTACAGATATTGTAGTCATGTTATTGTGATTATGTATTAAGATTTAAAATATTTTACTTAACACAGCTATTCTGTGACTTTAATAAATAAATAAAACTTTGTTCTTAACTTTGTGATGAATTGATTCTGGTACTCAGATGAGGATAAGACTTCATTTTCTCCCATTTCAGAAAGTAAAATTCACTGAATAGACTGTATATCTGATAGATTCGTAAATACTAGTGGAATTCCTTGCCGGTTATGTGCGTTTTGTTTTCTCGTTTTCGCCAGTGCCCTGGAACATACAGGTGTTCACAGACACAAAAATCTGGTGCAAGGCATTGGTAATTTAATGACAATAAAATTTTATTAACATGAGCCACGAAGTTACCCTCACTTGCCCAAACTGTTCTCCTTAGTTAATATGCAAATATAAACATGGTCATACCTTTGTATTTTTACTTTTTCTCCAAATTTTACTTACACAGAGGTAAGTTTCTATATTGCTGATCTGGTTTAACTGAAGATCTAATGCAAACTCCCCTGACTTATAAATAGAAGCAGAGCAATGTCTGTCCCTTCAGACCCGTCCAGGCTCACAGTGCTATTCTGAACATTAACATCACGCTCATTCCTGTTTGTGTGTTCTGTGCTCCTGTACATCAAGGCTCACGTTCGTAGAAGACTGAATGTGATAGTTCACTTATGCCCCGTCCTTATTGTGATTTGTTTACACACGCAAGGGAGTGGATTGTAGTTTCAGTTAGCTGTTTATAGCCAGGCAATTTTATTTCAGAAAAGTAAGTGACTGAAAAGTGTAGTTACGAAAGTAGACGGTAATTGCATTACATTTTAACTTCTTAGCCCCCTTAAGAAAATATATGCATTCTGTACTAAATTACAGATATTGTAGTCATGTTATTGTGATTATGTATTAAGATTTAAAATATTTTACTTAACACAGCTATTCTGTGACTTTAATAAATAAATAAAACTTTGTTCTTAACTTTGTGATGAATTGATTCTGGTACTCAGATGAGGATAAGACTTCATTTTCTCCCATTTCAGAAAGTAAAATTCACTGAATAGACTGTATATCTGATAGATTCGTAAATACTAGTGGAATTCCTTGCCGGTTATGTGCGTTTTGTTTTCTCGTTTTCGCCAGTGCCCTGGAACATACAGGTGTTCACAGACACAAAAATCTGGTGCAAGGCATTGGTAATTTAATGACAATAAAATTTTATTAACATGAGCCACGAAGTTACCCTCACTTGCCCAAACTGTTCTCCTTAGTTAATATGCAAATATAAACATGGTCATACCTTTGTATTTTTACTTTTTCTCCAAATTTTACTTACACAGAGGTAAGTTTCTATATTGCTGATCTGGTTTAACTGAAGATCTAATGCAAACTCCCCTGACTTATAAATAGAAGCAGAGCAATGTCTGTCCCTTCAGACCCGTCCAGGCTCACAGTGCTATTCTGAACATTAACATCACGCTCATTCCTGTTTGTGTGTTCTGTGCTCCTGTACATCAAGGCTCACGTTCGTAGAAGACTGAATGTGATAGTTCACTTATGCCCCGTCCTTATTGTGATTTGTTTACACACGCAAGGGAGTGGATTGTAGTTTCAGTTAGCTGTTTATAGCCAGGCAATTTTATTTCAGAAAAGTAAGTGACTGAAAAGTGTAGTTACTTCTCTTTTGGTAACATCTTTTCATTCACTGACAGTTATTGTGAACAAGTGAAATAAAACTGTTAATCAGTCAAACAAATGTTGCTTAGTTTACTTGTTAGATATCTGTATATTGGAAAATTGTATGTTTTTGTATAAGTCCTGTCGTAGCCAAATAATTTGATCTCCTAATTTTAGAATTATAGGCTATATTTACTTTAATGCTATTGTGCTGAAATGTTAACTATGGTAACCACCCACTTATAGATTAAAGATTGCTTTAAAATGAGTCTTTTGCTCCCCTCAATCTAAATTATACCTCTGGTTTATTTGGACTTTCAACACACATTTTGCTATTTATTTTGAAGCTAATACCATTTTTTGATAAACAAATTCAGAAGAACTGGGTCTCTTTTTTATTGGAATGAAAATAATTTTCTACTTAAGAAAGCTAGTATGAAAATCAATTATAAAAAAACTGTTTCAGGTACGGTCCATTTAGTAGTAGTTTCCAAAATTTTAACTGTTTTTAAAAGCTCTGAAGAGTGTCATCATTTGCTTGCTTGGTCATTGTGCATCCATGGAGTGGTAATGGTAGGTTTGTATTCATAGAAATGGAAACATGGCGATTTGGGACTTTGTTTTTGTGCTCTTTTCCTCTTTTTGCCATTTCAGAATGATGTAATTTCATTTTTTGTTGTTTTTTTTTCTCTTATAGATGCTTATAGTATTTTCCTAAAAGCGCAAAAGCAAAACAGTGTATTTAACCCTGAAACTTACCACAGTCTTATAAAGTTACTTTTGTCAAAGGAGTGTTTTACAGAAGCAATGCATGTGAAAGATGTGTAAGTATTAATCCATTGATTTAATTTGTTGTTTTAAAGAATTACTTAATTTTACTTATCATCATTATCACTATTATTATTATTATTAATTGATAATTTGACCAGAGGAAGAGAGGGGAAAATAGAGAAAGTGAGAAAGTAAACCACTATGTGCAGGACTTGAACTGCAGTCAGCCACATGGGAGTCCAGTGCCCCAACCACCACCCTACCTGCCAGCTTCAGTATTAATCCATTTATTAAGCCTCTCACTTTAAAAATGTATTGGCCACCATTGGGACTTTTGTAATGTATTGTAGCAATTGCTTGATTAGCCTAATTACCCATAAGAATGATGTGAAATGGATAACTAGTTTTAGGTTTTGTTTGTTTGTTTGTTTTTTAACTAAAATATGTAACCTTTTCTGACTGTAAAATGTAATACTGACTATGCACAGTATGGTACATTTTATTTACTTTTTATACCCTCACGGCTCACTTAGATCCATTTACAGAGAAGTAATACCATATTCTATTTCTTGATCACCACCTGGGCCTGGGTATCTCTGTGGTGGAAGCAGCACAGTGAGGACACCAAGGATTTATGCTTATCCTAGGGCTTAAATCTTAACTTGAAAAGTCTGTGATCTTTGGAAAACTACCTTTCATCTCTGAGTCTCAATTGTTCTTCTATAAGATTGGTGCACAATGATATTATTTATATTAAAGATCTCTTCTAGGTATTGAAGAAGTTGGAGATAGAGAAAACATGGATATTTAACATATTTTATGTACTTTTACTCTTCTTTTTGTTTTTGTTTTTTTGCCATAAGGTGCATGCATCCCCTGGAGAGAGACAGAGAAGGAGACTAGGTCTGATTCAGCTGATCTCATGTGCAGCCCATCCCTGGGGGGAATGGCCACAACACAACCCCTCCTCCTCCATTCTCCTCTTGAGATTTAAGGCACAACTTACATGTACCTGGTGTGATTTTCAGGGACTCGAACCACATTTGGCCATATGGGAATCCAGTGCCTTAACTACCACGCCACCTGCCGCCCCACTGTTTTTGGATTCTTTTTAAAAATCTAGTAGGTGGTGATGGTGGTAGTGGTTTTGTTTCCCTAGCTAGTCCTCTAGATTAAAACGCCTTGCCAATTAAGCACAAATAAAGATTTTTTAGTTTGATAGTCAGTTATTTGACCAGAAAGGGATAGATCAAAGTCCCCTGCCTTGGAACATGGAGAAGACCTGTTGTTGGGTCAAGAGCTTTGTTTTGTATAAGGGCAACCTTTCCTAGTATATTGTGAGTTGTGAAATCATCTCTTGACTGATTTTTGGCCTGCAGAATGTTTTAGTCTTAGCACTTTGGTAATGTTAGAATCTTGAATAGGGAAGGACGCTCATGCTTCCAAATGACTGAGAAAACCTGGTGCGAGTGCTCATGTTGTTAGTGTTGTGCGTTATAGGGCTCTATTATTGTTGGTGTTCTAGTACACTTTGAAAAATGTGTTATGTGTGACTGTATTTGTCTATGTGGAGATCTATGTACGTATGTATGCATGCATGTGGATATTTCACACTAAGCCACACTAAGACTGGTAAGTCACTTGTGTCTCATTTGTGTTTGTTCAATTGCTAATTAAGTTCTGTATCTCCATGGCATTGCTATACCTTCAATTAGTGTCTTGGAGAATTTGACATTGAACAGTATCCTGTCATCTATAACCACTGAGGTCAAGGCTGTAGATTATCTTGTAATATTATTTTTCTCAGAAAATCATTATGAAACTCTGTATCCTAATACTACCCATAACAATGAAGAGTGTTCTAAAGCAACTGGTTAGAGGAAGGGGGACATAAAAAGAGAAGAACATTGTGTGTTGAAAATCAGGGATGATTCAGTAAGGAGATAGAAGCAAAAAGGGATAACTTAAACCAATAAAAATTTAATTCTGAGATTGGTCATAAAGACTTAAAATACTTGCCAAAAGTACAGGTTACAGTATTAGTTGGATCTGTTCTAGAACAGTGATCCTCACTCTAGTAGCAGAAAAAGATTTCTCTCGGTCCACCACAGAAGTTCTGATTCAGCTGATCTTGTATCGGGACCAAGGATGTGCATGTCACTAAACACTCCAAGAGATTCAAGAATCTTAACCCATTTTGATCACATGCCATTAATAGTGAATTGTACTGATGTATCACATGTAAGTATATTATAAAAACATTTTTAAAATAGAAAATGTTCGTAAGATGAGATTTTTAAAGTAGAAGTTGAAACCTTTCCTTGCCTTACACCAGAGTGTCCCTGCCTCTCATTGAAGACCACTGATATAATTTCCAGACTGCAATCGTAACCAGTTAGTGGGTCATGGAACCTCTTCAGTGGGACAGAACCAGCACTGTTTTTTTCTTGAGGTTTTTGTCATAGCACTTGTGCACACTCTGGAGAGAGACAGGGAGAGAAAGGAGAAAGTGAGAAATCCCCCTTCCCTGGTGGGGGAAGCCATGCTGCAGTCTATTCTCTTCTTGTGATTTTGGTCATGCACACAGGCACCCGTCATGGATTTCAGACCACGAGGCTCCATCTGCAGTTGGCCATGTGGGAGTCCAGCACGTTACCACCACCTGCTGGCCCCAGAATGAGCACCTTTAAGATATGACATAGAATAGAAAATAGCAAAGCGTTTATTTCATCTAGTAAACATACAGTTTTGCAGAACATGCATGTATGTGTCATATTACTAAAGTCTTACTGTAGCTTTTGATCTCACAAGTTTGAGAGCTGCAGACCTAGACGACAGTTACAAGCATGACCTTTCTGTTTCCCATTAGTCTACAATCTGTGTGATGTCGATTTATCTTGCTTTCCCTTTCTCTCTGGGTTTTCATGATGCCTTTTGAGGTATGACTGAAGTATCAAAAGATTCATAAATGGAATGTAAACATATCAGTGAATTTGAGGGTAAGTTTGCCCTTGTGTAACTGTACCCACCATCAAGGACATGTACCTCCCTGCATTTCCTCCTGCTTTACTTTCGTTGTTATTATTATTATTGGGGGAGTTTTTGTAGGAATCTCATCAATTTTAAGTATACAAACACAGTAGTGTTAAATGTAGGCACTGTGCTGTGTAAATCCTCAAGGATTTATTTATCTTCTATAACTGAAACTTTCAAATTTTTCTAATGAGAGAAAGAGAGAGACAGGCCCCCTCAGCAGGGTCTTTATGCCACAACCCTCCCGCAGCCCTGTCTGTCGTCAGCCAGGATGTTGAGGTAGAAGTGGGAAGTGAACCCAGAGCCTTTCCACCTGATCCCTGTCACTACACAGCAGCACCCCTGCTGCCTGTACCACTGCGGCTGGGTGTGCGTGTATGAGAAAGATTTGTGCTCATGGGCGTTTTTGTTTTATTTATGTTAGTTATCCCACCAAGAGTATTCTGTAGCTTCTTCCCTGTATGGTAGAAGAGAATCCTAGACCAAAGCCTACGACTGCATGTTCTTTCCCTTAAACTAAAAATACTATATCCAACTATGTAGAATTGTATCTTGGTTTAACTCGTCATTCAGTACTTTTTGAAAATAACCATGGATTATAAATTCAGATGTGGGGGACCAGCAGTTAGCGTAATGGCTATGTCACTGGACTCCCATGTAGTCGACCGCGGTTCGAGTCCCGGACCCGGTGGCTTAAAACTCAACGTCAAGCGTGTGTGCGTGCATGCGTGCATGCCCAAGATCCCAAGAGGAGAATGGAGAAGAAGGGATTGCGGCATGGCCATCTCCCCTGGGGGGTGATTTCTTGCTTTCTGTCTCTGTCTGTCTGGCGATCGCACATGCCCTATGGCAAAAACCTCACATGCCCTAGGGAAAAAACCCCTCAAAAAAAAAAAAAAAAGAAAAGGAAAGAAGCTTGATAAAATTAGCTTGTTAACTGGTGTTATACACAGATAAAAATCAACTGCGACCAGCAGTTAGCATAATGGCTATGTCACTGGACACCCACGTAGTTGACCGTGGTTCGAGTCCCAGACCTGACGGCTTAAGCTCATGCCAGGCGCATGTGCGTGCGTGCCCAAGATCTCGAGAGGAGGATGGAGGAGAAGGGATTGCGGCGTGGCCATCCCCCCTGGGGGTGATTTCTTGCTTTCTGTCTCTCTGACTCCCTCTGTCTTTCTGAAGAGCGCACATACCCTGTAGCAAAAACCTCTCCAAAAAAAAAGAAAAAGAAAGAAATTCAGATGTGAAAGTTGGAGTTCCAGTTACCCAGCTAATTATGTTACTGGAGGTGTATCCTACAGCTTCTCTGGTCCTTGCAACCTAGGTCATTACAACACTAGACTAAGCCACCTCTTTCCATTCCAGCTCTGTATCAAGTCAGGCGGTAAGAATTAATTCCTTTGGGGTGTGTGTGTGTGTGTGTGTGTGTGTGTGTGTGTGTGTGTGTTTCTCTATAGGGCACATGTACTAGCCAGAGAGAGAGACACACACACATGGAGAGAGAGAGAAAGTGAGAAATCACCCCTAAGGGAGGATGACCACACCATAGTCTCTTTATGTCTCCTCCTGGGATTCTGGACACACACACACACGTTTTCCAAGCCACCGTGTTCAGGATTCAAACCAGGCACTTGACTGTGTGGGATTCAGCTGCCTTAATTACCATACCGTAGCCTGGCTCGCCCAAATTGTTGCTTTTTTTTGTTTTTTTTTAAAGAATTGTGTGGTTTATTATTATTATTATTGTTATCATTAAATTTACTAGAGGGCACATGCGCTCACCAGAGAGAGAAAGACACATATGTGTGTTGGGGGGAGGTGCCAAACCACCAGGTCTGAGACTTGAACTGTGGTCAGCCATGTGGGAGTTCGGTGTCTTAGCCATCACACCATCTGCTGAAAAAAAATCACACCATCGTCTGAACCCAGTTGTTGCGTTTTTATAGGCAACTTTATCGTATGTGGTGTCCTAATGAGCCACTGTAGTAAGTGGCAGTACTCCTGTTGTTCTTACTGCCATCCATAAATAGCAGTCATTTGTTATGAATCCCTACGTATTGTCACTTGTTCAACCTTAAGAGCAGTAGTTTTTCCATGAACTAAGAAGTGCCATCTTTGTTTTAACTATACATTTGTTGTCTTTAATGGACTTCACTGCATATGAGATTTCTTTAATTTTATTACCAATAACTCACAAAAAGTAATGGAACTTAAAAGGTATCAGTGATAACTGCCTTTTAAATTTTTTTTTAAGAAACCAACTTTCGGGACTAGCAAGTGGCGTGGGGGTTAAGGTGCTGGACACTCCCACATGACCAACTGCAGTTCGAATACTGGACCTGGTGGCTTGCTTTCTCACTTTCTCATTCTCTCTCTCTCTCTGTATCTCTTTCTGGTCAAATTAAAATAAATGAATGAATAAATAAAATTAAATAAATAATTATTTTTTAAAAAAACTTTCATTTTTAGTTTCCTCTTTTTTCAAAGTAAAAATTTACCTATAGTGAATTTTCTCAGAGGATGGACACTGCATATTCAAAAGCAGTAAGGCATATACATTTATTTTATTTTATTTATTCTGTTTTTGTTTTTGTTTTTGGAAGGTTTTTGCCTTAGGGTGCATGCACTCACTGGAGGAGAGACAGTGAGAGGAAAAGTGAGAGGTCACTCCCCAAAGGGAATGGCCACGCCACAATCCCTTCTCTATTCTCTTCTTGGGTTCTTGGGCACACACACACAGTACCCAGCATTATTTTCAAGCCACCGGGTCCAGGACTCAAACCATAGTCCACTATGTGGGAGTCTAGCTACATAACCATGACACCAACTCCTGGCCTCATTATTTATTCTTGTGTGGTTTTTTTTTTTTTTTTTGGAGAGATTTTCACTGTAGGGCGCGTGCGCTCGCCAGACAGACAGAGAGAGACATAGAGACAGAAAGCGAGAAATCACCCCCCAGGGGGGATGGTCATGCCGCAATCCCTTCTCCTCCATTCTCCTCTCGGGATCTTGGGCACGCACGCACACGCGCCCGGCGTGAGTTTTAAGCCACCGGGTCCGGGACACGAACCGCGGTCGACTACGTGGGAGTCCAGCGACATAGCCATTACGCTAACTGCTGGTTCCCTCTTGTGTGTTTTTTGACAAGGTCTTGCTCACAGAGTCCTCTTGCCTCGGTCTCCCAGCTGGGACTGCAGGCATGTGCCAGCATGCAGCATGCCAAGCTCTTTTGCTGACAAGGTCTGTCTTTGTTGCCCAGGCCTGCCTCGAGCTCACAAGTCCTCTAGCCTCTGCCTCCCTGAATTGCTGGGATTATAGGTTCATGCCCCCATGCCCCGCCAGAATTGAACCCAGGCTTACATGGAGTCCTGGCCTGCAGAGCATAGTGACTTAGCAGTACATGCGACCACCTCTGAGCCTAAATTATTATTTTAAATCTCTAATAACACTAAACTCAATTCTTGGGGAATTTGAGAGTCCTGTAGCAACAGCCTTACTTCATCTTTTGAGAGTAACACTTTTATTTTCTCGCATTTTCTAATTCCTGCTTCCTGTTTCATTCTGACTGGAAACAATACTAAGTCTAGCAGTTTTTACTGGATTGGCTAGCATTTGTTATCCAAAGTAATGTGATCACTGCCTGATGTCCTCTGTATGTTGTGTAAACACAGCCCATAGACAGTTCATTGCTCTGCAGGTCTAAAGCGAAACTTGCCCTGTAATACTGTCTTCTTTGGTTCAAATTGTTTAATTTTTGCAATTAAGATGATACCCCATTTCCCCTGTCGTGTTTTCCTTTATTTTGGCAGTTGTAAATGAAAATGCCTAGAATTTTATAATGTCCAATTTAGTAACCAGTAGCTATGTTTGACTTTAAATTAGTTAAATTAAGTATAATTAAGATTTACCTCTCCTTCATGGTGGCCATGTTAGCCACATGTGGCTGGTTTCTTACCCTGTTGGATAGCACAGATAAGGAATGTTCCCACCATCACGAGAAGTTCAATGTGACAGCTGGACTAGATTTTCAAAAGGAAAGATAAAAATTAGGAGTAAAAAGTAATTTTCTTTTATTGTTTTAGATGAATGATTCCAGCTCAAGATCTCCACCAGTACATTCTTGTCGTTTTTCTTCTTTTGCCAATTCAGAATTTTTGGGGTTGTGATTGGTCAGTCTCTGTTATGTAAACTATATCAGTGTATAATCTGGAGTTTGTTTTCCTCCCCATTATTTATCTCCACTTTCATATTTGTAATGAGTAGGCAGCTTCTCGAGATAGGAAGAGATTATTAAGAGAGAATGTTTTGTATGGCAGGTAAAAGAGATGTTTTATTATCACAGAGTTTTAATGAATTTTAAGTAATATTTTTAATATGCTATAATACATAAAATAGTATTGGCATGAAAAGTGAGCTTTTAATAGTGTCTAATTTTTAATTTAGTCATTCTAAAGATTTAGAAAGTAAATCCTTTATTTTATGCAATTTGTAGTCTCATGCACGATTTGTTGACTTAAGAGCTTTGACAGATGGGACAAAGGAAAAAAGTCAAACTGAGCAATGGGCGCTTTGGCGGGATTAAGAGGATTGATGGGGGAATAAGAAAATCCAGCGTCGGGGGACTGCAGGGGTGAGCCTTAGAGGCTGAAAGTGACTGAGAGGATGGGCATGTCATGGTGTCTCTGGAGGATTTTCTTGGGATTGATGAGAATAATTTAGCAGTGACCCTGCTTTCCTCTCAATCTGCTCAGTTTATACATCTGTTGGCGGGCCGAGGGGTTGTTGGCGGCAAGGTCGTCGCTGAACTCGATAAGGCAAATGGCAGCAATTGCTTTTGCTCCTTTTGACCTGTTTAGATTTCCTAACCGGGAGATGAACCCTGGGGCATTAAGGATGCTGAATTTCATCACAGGAGATGTGCCAACAGTTGTAGCAAACAGAAATCATCTCTGGCTAGGTCTGGGGATTTTGTTTGTTTTATTTTGTTTGTTTCGCTTTCTTAAATCCTGTAGGTTTTAGTGATTTAGCAAAGTGATTTTTTTTTTTTTTTTTGTGAAGTGATTTTGCTCTTTTAGGAAGTTGGAGGTTTTGCTTCAGCTTTAAGGCTGGGACATAGTGTCGTGTGAAAATTTTCATTTTAATTTAACAGCGGCTTTAGTTCTGTGGTATGTTCCGCTTTAAAAACTATGTATCTAGATGACAGAAATTTGAAAATTAATCACCCAAATGATACGGTGTTAGTTAGTAATATGCTTTAGTTTATATTTAAAATATACAGTGCTGAAAATAAATGTTCATTTTTGTTGCTGGAAGAATAGTTTTACATTTTATAATTACGGTGAATGCAGGAAAAAAGAGGAAAAAGTATCCAGCCTAGGATACAGCAGAACAATGCAGGGCATGCAGTTATTTTAGTCATCTAATATGTCAGCATTCAAGAATCTGAACCGATTGTTTAAAAAAAATCTTGTACTTTGTTTCTTTTGTTGCTCATTTCCAACTTTGTCATCTGTCAGAATGCAAAAAAAAATTATCCTTCTATAACCATTGACAGGATAACACAAAAGCTGTCTCCAGGTCGATATTTTGCAGCAATATTTTTAACATACGAACAGTAGTTTTTATAATTTCACCTTGGTGCTCAACCATTTATTATCGTATCAGAAGCATGTCAGTAATTCCTTTCTAAATGTCTGCTTCTTTTAGCGCTGAGACCCACATCAAGGGCTTCACACTGAACGATGCTGCCAACAGCCTCCTCATCATAACGCAAGTTAGGCGGGATTATTTGAAAGGTATGTCACAATGCTTGACCTTTACGTCACATTAATGCCTCTGCAGATTTTTCTTGTAACGCCCTTCGAATACTTGGATAAAGGAGTCCATTTAGCAAATTACCTGCTTATCAAGAGCCTTTTGTGGTAGCTGAGAGACGTAAATTACTGTACATGCATTTATAATACAGCTTGAATATGAATGTACTTGTCATTTGACCACTTAGTCCAGTTTCCATTCCATTTAACACAAGATGGGTTTTCTTAAGATGAATCACAGCTCTTCAGACATGCAAAATTTGTGTTCCAGAACGAGAGAAAGTACAGGCTTTCAAGTGCGTTAAAATTCACAGCACAAGTCATTTTGCTTTGGAAATTAACATACTTTAGAGCATCTGAAACAATTCCCAGCAGTTGTTTCTTGCATATTGTGTTGGTTGTGTGTGAGATAGCAAATGAGTTAAATTGAGTGTTAAATGTGGGGGATTGTGCACCAAATGATTATAATATTGATTTTTTAAACTTAATCTAATACTTTTTTAATAGTTCATAATACCAGCAGCAATAAAATACAGTGTTTGTTTGAAGTTTAGGGTTTTAAAATTCATGTTAAGAGGATAATATCAGGAAGACGTGGAGATGACTTTGGGGACAGTCAGGATGGGGGGGGCTACTGATCTGGCAGGAACTGTTTCTGGGTTTCCAGTAGGGCGGATTTGGATCTGGAGGTCTTATTGAACCAGTTCCCAGGGGGAAACGATGGCTCTTAAATTTTAGTAAGTAGCTTTCACTTTAAGTTTACATGTGAATTTCAGTCACTATCCCATCATCACACTTTTGCCAGTACAACAAAATCCACTGAAGAGATCTTTAAGGAAGGTTGAAAAAACTCTTTACCTGTTAGAGATGTTTCCTCCTCAGTCTAATAATGGTGTTGTTACTCACTTACATATTTATAAAATAATTTCATATCCCTGAGAGGAAGTTGCCATCTAGCTATACAACTTTAATGTTGCCTATGTAGCACCTAAAGGTGCCGGTCTTTAGCCATCTTCCTAATTGATTTGGACTGAATAAATAAGCGGTGATTTTTCCCTTTTCAAAATTTCCACCTGAGCATTCCACAGACAGGGCCCGCCTGTCTAGACGGTCTTTTTGGACAGCCTAAGTTGTAATTGAGTAGTACAGGGCTTGTTAAAACCTTCAGAGCTTTCATTTTATGTCCAGTAGAAAAGATTTTTTTTTCTCAAGTTGGTATTTTATGTAGATTTAATAAACAACTTTAAAATACTGGAAATTAAACCTGATCCCTATATTAAAAAACTCATTTGTGTAGTAGCTTATGTTTCTGTAGACGTGGAGATGAGAACAAAACACTTCTTTAATTTCAGAGGGCTAATTTTAAGCTCGTCTGACCCGAATTTGTGGGACTTGACGACTGCTCTTTACTCGTGTGTCCGTTGTGCTGTGAGAACTACAGGAAGGAATGTGCTGTAATCTCTCACCTGTTCTTCTTAGCTCTTGGGCTCAACTAGAGTTTGTCTGAGAGCAGGAGCCGTGAGCCTATTGTTCTCCACTACCACTTCCGCCCTCTCCCCACCGCCTCCCACCTCCTGAGCGTCACCACAGACTAAGCTATTGTTACAGTAGAGGCATCATTGGCAAGGATGGGAGTGATATTGGCCCCATTCCCATCTCCTTATTTTGTTCCATGACTGCTAAGAGCTCCTGATTTAAATTTTTCCTTCTATTCTTTTGCCCTTCTCTCTTCTGGGTCTTTCTCTTCCTCTCAATTAGAGGAAGAAGGAAGGATAAATTCAAAGAAATCTTAACTAACTTTGTAAACCAATACTGTTGTGGAATATTAATAGCCGGTACATGGCACCTGTGCTGTATAATCTGTCTCACTGGTAAAAAACTGAGTAAATGATGGAATTGGGTGACAGTGGGAAAGGGCTTGCAGAGGAGGGATGTGGATGGTGTCATTTTTGGTGTCTCTTAAGTCATTCGCTGTATAGAAGGCAAGTTCTGTTGAGAATATCATTTAGGTCAGACGGTCTCACGCTCCCTTTGGGTAGACATAAAAGGATCTGTTCTCCTTGTCCCGCCACTCTTTCATGCCCAAGTGCACCATCCATGCAAGCTCTGGAAAGGTTAGATTCTTGGGTTGTTGTCAAGCAATATGACCTTGACCTTGAGAGATGAAACTGCTTCAGTGTCTCATCTGTAAACGTGATAATTAACCTCCCAAGGGTAACTGTGAGTGTCACTGCTTAGTACGGTACCTTATCCATAGTAAACACTTGGTAAATTAGAGCTAGCCATAGTCCCCATCAGTAATCTTGTTTTTGTTACTATTTTGATCCACTAGTGGGAATATCCTGACTAGCTGACAGTATTCTTTGGTAATAAGGATGTTGCAAAGTTGATTTTTTTTTCTTTTTTTGGAGAGGTTTTTTTGTTTGTTTTTTTGTTTGTTTGTTTGTTTGTTTTGTTTTTTGCTATAGGGCGCGTGCGCTCGCCAGACAGACAGAGACAGAAAGCAAGAAATCACCCCCCATGGGAGATGGCCATGCCGCAATCCCTTCTCCTCCATTCTCCTCTCAGGATCTTGGGCACACACGCACACACGCTCAGCGTTGAGTTTTAAGCCACCGGGTCCAGGACATGAACCTCTGGAGACTACATGGGAGTCCAGTGACACAGCCATTACACTAACTGCTGGTCCCATCAAGCTTACTTTCTGTATACTCTATTTTTCAAACAGTTTAAAAACATTTTTTCTTTTTATGTGTACATGTGTATTTACAAGATTTTAGTGAGTATGCTTTTTTTTTTTTTAATCTACCTCTATGCCCTTTTCCGCATTTGAGAGTCATTGGTTTAAGTTGTTGGTGTATTTGGAGTACTTATAAGTGGTTTATTCAGTAATAAGACTAAATTCACCATGTCCTTTACTGTATTGTTTTTATTTTAATTTTATTTATTATTGTTGTGTTTTATTTTGATCAGAGAGAGACCGAGACAGAAAAAAAGAGAAGGAAAGTGAGAAAGCAAGCCACCAGGTCTGGAACTCGAACTTCATTGGCCACATGGGTGTCCACACTACCTGCCAGCCCCTACTGTTTTTTTGTTTTTTTTTTTAAGAATTATTTTTTTAACTTTATTTATTTACTTATTTTAATTTGACCATAGAGGGACACGGAGAGAGAGAGAAAGTGAGAAAGCAAGCCGCCAGGTCCGGGACTCGAACCGCAGTCAGCCATGTGGGTGTCTAGCACCCTCAACCACCATGCCACCTGCCGGCCCCCTGTATTGTTTTTAAAATAAACTGTTGAATTATTGTTCTTAGCCCATTCTTCTGAGAAAGATAGCTGTTATTTGGAAAGCTGCTGTGAGTCTTCGTTTATCTAGGCTACATAGTTTGACTGCTGGAAATCCATGAAGTCCCTTTGGTAGTGATGCAGATCCCTCCTCAAAACTATCACTCACGATTTCACGACAAAAGTCAGTAAATTAGATCAGTATTCCCCATTTTTTTCATAATCAAAGGCTTGTAAGTATGAGTCTTAAGTAAATCGAACAGAACTTCATTGACTATATTCATAGAAATTGTATAGAGTTCATTTTCTTTGAAAGATGAGTACAATAAAATATTCAAAGGTATCTAGTCATTTGAAATAAATTTGTTGTTGACCAGCAGGTAGTGTGGTAGTTAAGGTGCTAGGCACTCCTGCATGGCCAACTATGGTTTGAGTCCCGGATCTGGTATCTTGCTTTTTCACTTTCCCTCTCTCTCGCTCTGTGCCTCTCTGGTAAAATTAAAATAAATGAAAGAATGAATAAAATGAAACGAAATAATTCTTTAAAAAAATTTTGTTAGTGTGCAAATTGCATGTTGTAGTTTGATCTTGTTTGGACTGTAGTGAGACATTGTTTTTAAAAAGAATCTTTGGGACATTAGAAAGTTTTGATTATCTTGTAATCTCTGGGAAAGTAGGAATATGGATATAACTAACATGTTTTAGGGAAACTCTTTAGTTTTTTTTTATATTCTCCATTACTTATTTTTCTCTGAATTTGTTAACTTGGTTATAAGATTTTATCCCTGAATGGAACTCACATTCTCAGTAACATCTGTATTTCCTTTGTGAGTTGAAAAACAGAATTTCTTTGGTCTCTGATATCTTACAGTTAGTCAAATAGATTATTTGTTTAGAAGTCTCATAAAATATTAATAGTTTTTGTTATCTAGAATAAATTATCCATAACCTTTTTTATATAGCCATGCGGTGCTTATATTTAAAAGCTGGTTTTCAAAATGCATTAAAGTCAATATGGGTCATGTAAGAAAAACCTCTCTCCTTTGCGTCTGTATTTTAGAGGCACAAACAACACTGAAAACGGCCTTGAATCTGGAGCAGATCCCTTCTAGGATAGCAGTGACTCGCCTTATCCAGGCATTTGCCTCCAAGGGTGACGTACAAAGCATAGAAGCAATTCAGAAGATGGTAAATGGACTTGAAGACTCAATTGGACTTTCACGTATGGTTTTCATCAATAACATTGCCTTGGCACAGATTAAGAAGTGAGTACTTTCAGCTTGCTTTCTTCTGTTGGCTACCGGAGCGAACATTATCTCAAGTAGCGATTTCAAAACTCTTCATCGGTATTTGGAAACCATGTTCACTGCAGAGGAGATTTTGATGCCACTTGCTGATTGTTCCCTAACTATTAGGGAATAATTATATATTGAAAACTGTGCTTTATATTTAAATTAAACCTTTGAATAAATGATACTTATCAAATTCATAAAAACTTTCCCCACAGTTGATATCCTTTCTCATTTACAGATATATACATACCAAGGCCTCTTGTGGTTGAAATGCTTTGTTATAAAAGTGAAAAATGGGGACCGGCAGTTAGCGTAATGGCTGTGTCGCTGGACTCCCATGTAGTTGACCGTGGTTCGCGTCCCGGACCCGGTTGATTAAAACTTGCGCCGGGCGCGTCTAAGTCAAAAATGACCTAATACGTTTGTCAGCAGTACTGAAGAGTGACACTCCAGTAGAATTTTATGAGACACAGGATCTGGCAAGCTGGTTACAAATGTATATTTCCATTTTTACCCAATTCCTATCCAGTCACTCGTGAACACACACATACCCACAAAAGGGAAGGTATTTCAAGTCAGTTCACCTACAGCCATCTCCAGATTCCTCACTGAGAATCGTGGGAGTAGTAAATAAGAACTGATTTCCGTTAACCTTGCTAGCAAAGTCCTTTGTTTAAGTGAAAGATTCGTAGGGATAATTGGAATTGATACTCTCATTCTTTATTTAGAAATATTTATTTAATTTTAAATTTTATTACTATTATTTGTGAGAGAGAGAGAGAGAGAGAAAGCAAGCAAGGCGCCATGTCCAGAACTTGAACATCAGTCGGCCATGTGGGAATCCAGCACCTTAAGTACCATGCCACCTGCTGACTCTGGGAATTGATACTCTTAATCCCTTTAGAAAACTGTTCCTCCTTAGTTAATCTTACATATATTTAATGGGATGTGATATTAAAATGTAATTTTTGTTTTTGCAGGGCTTTTTGTCTGTTACTAGTTCTTTAAATGGTGAAGCACTTGTATTTTGTTTCATTTTTACCTTTTAAAACTATTTCCCCAATTAGGGTTATACACTGCCTTTAATAAGCAAATATAATTGCTTTAAGTTACAAGATAATGGAAATTATATAAGTAAGAACTATGTGGATTTTTAAATGTTACCATATAAGCACAGTTTTATATGGTGTGGGAAACATTTTTATTCACTGTTAAATAATTCTCTAACTGAAGCTTATAATAAAATGTGTTGTAATAGGGTGTTCATTTTTGTTTATAAAATTATTTTGTTTAATGTAGTAATTTGAACATAAAATCAATTATTTGGCGTCGTGGTGCATATCATTACTGTAAGGTATCGATTATAGAATAATCAGAGGAGATGGTTATGAAGACTATTTTAGGCCATCTAATCTAATTGTTTTCAGTGTAAGGCACGAAGAGATTGCTTTCTGAGAATTTTAATATAAATTGCGCATTTTCCAAATGATGCGTACTACCTGACTGAAAGAACTTGATGTGACTCTGGATTAGACACATGGAAATGTAGCTTTTGAAGGCATCATCGGTGTCTTTAAGACTTTTCAGATGTTATGTATTCTCTTTACATCATGTAATAGTACCAGGTGTAGATTATAAAGCCACAATGACAGAATTTAAACACACTTTTATTTTATATCCAAAGAGCTGCAAAATAAAATTAAACATTTAAGAAACATTATTTTTAAAGTTACCTTCATTCATTATTCTATATAGAATTTGATCTTCTCTCTAGAGCAGTATTTTAGAATAAGCAACCGTTGGGGCCAGCAGGTGGTGCAGTGGTTAGGGTGCAGGATTCCCACATGGCCAACCAGGGTTCTAGTCCAGACCCACCTGCTTTCTCTCTTTCTCTTTCTCTCTGGTAAGCAGATGTGCCCAATAGCACATTTTAAAAATGATAATAATAAATAAAATACTAAATTTTTAAAAATAAGCAACTATTTCAACTACTATGAAAGAAATAAGCAATTACCGTAACATAGGCCCCACCCACTGACTGCTGTTGCTACCTAAACGTGTTTGACTTTAAGTTGCATAGTGTTTTCTTAATCTGGTAAACGGTAAATATAGTTCCTTTTTTATTTTTTAAAGTATTTGCATGTGTGGACACAAAACTAAAACTGCCAGCAATATTAATGTTAAAGCAAACACTTTTTCATGGTTCATTTTGCTTTCTTTTACAGCAATGACATAGATGTTGCCATAGAAAACATTGAAAATATGCTTACTTCAGGGACTCAAACCATGGAAGCCCGGTACTTTGGCTTGACATACTTATTCAGGAAAGTAATAGAGGAGCAGCTGGAACCAGCAGTGGAAAAGTGTAAGTTACGTTAGTTGTTTTTGCTGAAGAACAGAGACACGTTTTTTCCCACTGTGAGACCAGGCTAGATTTCTTTGGTGGATGAGTTGGATGAGTTATCCTACTGTTCTAATGAAACGTTTTCCTTCCTTTTTCCAGTGAGCATCATGGCAGAGAGATTGGCCAATCAGTTTGCAGTTTATAAACCTGTCACGGATCTTTTTCTTCAGTTCGTGGACTCAGGCAAGACTGATGATGCCAAAGCCCTCTTAAAGGTAATGGCCCTCCACTCACAGAACAGGGGGGCTTGAGGCATTGTGAGGAGTAAATTGGGAAGTTGGGAGTGAAGTGCAGCCCTGCTGGCACATTTCAGTTCACTGTGGATCAAGGTTGCATGACTGGGACTGCATTGTAGGCCGCTGGTTTTAGAGATGCCTGATCGGACTAGCAGTGTTCTTTTAGCTGGGGGGGCTGAAATTACTTCAAGACTAATGTTTCTGCACAGATAGGTAACGCAAAACAACAGTTCTTTTGATTTCCTACTTTAATTTCTCTAACGCTCTAAATACAATGCATCACCATGGCAACACAGTTTGCAAACAAAAAGTAGGAAATGTTTGCTTCTCACTTGAATACTCAAATATTCTCAGTGCCTTATTCAAGGTTTATTAAGAGTTGAATTTGCTTTCTATTCACTTGTGTGTCACAGACACATTAAATGACAAATGCAGGTCTCTGTGGCCCGCACTCTCAGTTAAATTAGCAATCTTCAGGGAAGGAGACAACTGCATTCATGCCATTTTAACAGCACTAAATATAAAGCTGCGCCGAGCGGTGGGTGATCGGAGCTGCCACTGGCAGTGTACACAAACAGGCGCCGCCGGGAGCCCTTCCCAGCAGGTGGCAGTCAAACAGTCACCGTGATCCCGCGGCGCTGTGTTTGTGTAGACTCCCTGTGTCAAATTGAGGCCTGGGACCAATTCCTGATAGTAAATAGTATTATATTCACTTACACTTGTACCAGCTGTGAAATAGCTTAAGTAGTACCTAGGAAAGGTAAAGCTGTACCCATTTGCTTAAGTTCCAGATTCAGCACTTAAGTTCCTCTACTTTGACAGTGCAGTCCAAGCCACCTTCAAAAGGAATTCCTGGAAATGTTTTCTCTTGTGTTGATAGTTTTGTAGAAGCTGTTCCTTGGCACTACTTCTAAGGCTTTTCCTTTTGTTTCTTAATAGAAAGAAATTCCAGTTTATTAGGAATTTTCTGGTTTGGTTTGTTTACTTTTTTCTTTTCCTTTTTTTTCACAATAGGAATTTCAGGCATCATCATTGTTTTATCTTGCCACCTTAGTGTTAAACATTCTGTCTTGAAAGGAATAAGCTTACCCTTATGCTTTATGTGTACATATCTTAGCACCTACTCGGGGTGTAAGCGTATAAATATCTAAGGTAGACGTGATGGTATTCATTCCATTTTAAGTTGTCTGCTAGCAAACGTGGCACTCCAGCTTATTCCGAGCCATAATTGTCAGACTCCTCTTGGCAAGCTCAACTGACAGCAGTCTAGGGTGGGTGACAGCGGGGATGGCGCCTGCTGCCCTCCGGTGGCCTCAGCTCTTGCTGATGGAGGAGTGTCGGGCCAGCAGCAGCGTTGGCAGCGGGCTTCTCGCTTGCATCCCTTCGTAGACTGAGCGTTCAGACGATAAGCCCTGTACCCGCCCTTTACCCACACGTCAAACGCTAAGATTACTCTTGCTGTAGTGAAGAAGACTTTATTCACAGATGTCGAAACCATCAGTTTATAATGTAAATGTTCTGTATGTCCCCAAGAGGTCTTTTTATACCGTTCATTTTAGTATTGACAATGTCTTAAAGCTTTGAAAGAGCAGTGTGCTTTTAGAAACTTAAGAGAATGACATCCGCGATGAGTGTAAACTAAAATATTGTCTTGCCATATTTGATTTTACTATAGCATCTAAGATTGGATAGACACTTGATTTATCTGGTCTGTCATATAAACTTTTTTTTTGAGTTTAACTTTTGTCTCTTTCTCAAGCACTGGCTGTCTGTTGCAATGAAAGCCTTTTATAAAATAGAGAGATTGAAATCAGTCCTTTTGTATGCGTAAGTGTAGGTAATTATACTTTAAAGAGAACTTGCTTTGTACATTTTAATTTTTATAAAGAAACGAGCAGTTATCTCCCTGACACCTTATTAAATGTATAATTAACCTTATGATCCCTAGCTCACTTGTGAATGCTTGGCAGTATAATTGGAGAGGAATAGTGTTTCTTTTTTTCCTCTTTCTTTGCAGTCCTAAACCTTATTCTGTGGTTGTGGAAGCATTAGTTTAATTTTTCCCTTTTCTTTTTAAACAAACTTTGTACTTGCATTGCCAAGGACAGCGTTCACCAAAGCTTGGCATAGCTCGCACTTATTTTCTTTCGTCTTGCCTTAAGAAAAATGGTCGACGATTAGGCCTTCCTGTTGGTAATGATACACTAGTGTATTATGTTGAACTTTCTTAATTGGAAATATTCACCTTGATCTGCTTGTTTATCAAAAGCCCTCACTTACTGAATCATCTTTTCATTTTTTAGAGATGTGGTGCAATTGCTGAACAAACCCCAGTTCTATTGCTGTTCTGTACTAGGTGTTCTCGGAAGCCGGGAAAGGTATTGTGCTTGACTTGTTCACAACTCAGCGATGCCATAAGCCAGTCTCGTTCAAAGGTTTAATGTAAGAGCTTGTTGGTTCAGGACCTTAATCTGAAAGCACTGTAGAGATTGAAGACTGCTTGTTTACTTGTTCAGGATGTTGATACAGAGTCAGTCCAGCTTTTTTGTTGTACTAGAAACTCAAACCAAATTCAGGTATGAATTCTCTGTTGATATATTTGTGCACTGAAAGCCTCAGTAAAAAGTATCCTGACAAATGGAAGACAAAAATTGTGTTGCTTAAGTCACCTTCACACATTCAACAGAGCAGGAGCACTGTCGAGGGAGACCTGCCATTGCAGATTATCTATCGGGTGGATACGTTTTTTAAAAATTTTTTTAAATTTTATTTTATTTATTGTTAGTATTTTTTAAAGTTTGGTATAGAGCACATGTGCAAGAGGAAGAGAGAAAGCAAGCCACCAGGTCCAGGACTGAAACTGTGGTCAGTCATGTGGAAGTCCAGTGCCTTAACCACCTTGCCTCCTGCTGGTCCCCTAGGTGGATACTTTTGACTATTCATCCTGTGTAAACCATCAGTCAGATAGAAGAGGCACTTGGCTTTAAAGTTGGACGGTGCTACAAATTAATGTTCTTATTGTATAGTTATCTTTTTACACTCTAAAGGGTGGGTGAGTAGGAGGTATGTGTGTAACAGAAACCAAGTCCTATCTTTGATGTTAAAAAGAGATAGAATTAGGGCCAGCAGGTGGCATGGTGGTTGGGTACTGGACTCCGATATGGCAAACCACAGTTCAAGTCCTAGATCTAGAGGTTTGCTTTTTTCACTTTCTCTCTCTCTCTCTTTCTCTCTCTCTCTCTGATCAAATTTAAAATAATAATAAATAAAGTAAATAGGGAGGTGGTATGGTATTTAGGAAACTGGAATTCCCACATGGCTAACCACGGTTCAAGTCCCAGACCTGGCAACTTGCTCGCGCTCTCTCTCTCTCTCTCTCTCTCTGCCAAAACTCATGTGGAAGATAATAATAATAAAATAAATAAATATTTTTTAATTAAGTATAGAATTATTTAAAAAAAAAAATAGGCCAAGCTGCAGTGGCACAGTGGTAACACCAATGCCTGGAAGGCTTAAGATAAGATTTTTACCTGATGACTCATGTTATCAAACAATTTTTAGAAAATATTTAGTTGTCTCTTATTTCTTTGAAAAGGCAATTATTTATTTATTTATTTATTTATTTATTTGAGAGGTTTTTGCTATAGGATGCATGCACTTGCCAGAAAGACAGAGAGAGACAGAGACACAGAAAGCAAGAAGTCACCTCCCAAGGGGGATGGCCACGCTGCAATCCCTTCTCCTCCATTCTCCTCTCGGGACCTTGGGCATGCACGCACACGTGCCCGGCGTGAGTTTAATCCACTGGGTCTGGGACCCGAACCGCTGTCCATCTACTACATGGGAGTCAAGCGACATAGCCATTACACCAACTGCTGGTCCCTTCTTATACTTTTTAAATTATTCATTTAATAAAATTGCTTCTTAAGGACCAGCAGAACATAAAACCAAAACTATGTCTACAGACTCCTGGAAGCAATCAAGTAAAAATATCCAGTAAGATCTTGGAAATGTATTTATTTACTAAGGAAGGAAAAACTTAAAAATGTTTGAATTTTTTGGTATCTCTTCAAAAAATATTGGCTCCCAAAGATATTGGTCATTACTTCTGCCCTTGGGATCTCATAACTGCTTGGTATGAGTACAAGCTGGCAAAACAAGCAAACTTTGGGCCAGCCTGTGGCACTGTGGTGAAGGCAGCTGAATCTCACATGGATGGCTGCATGCAGTTCATGTCCCAGACCTGGCAGCTCGAAAAAAACACACAGGGTGCATTTGTGTGCCTGTCCAAAATCCTAAAAGGAGGAGAAATGGAGAAGAGATTGCAGCATGACCATCCCCCATGGGGGGGTGCTTTCTCATTTTCCTCCTCTCTCTCTCTCTCTCTCTCTCTCTCTCTCTCTCTCTCTTTCTGTCTCTCTCCTCTCCAACAAGTACACAACCTCTGGCAAATTTTAAAATAAAGAACAAGAAGAAGCAATCTTCACATGTTCAGAAAATAGATTTAGATAGACAATATTATATTTAAATTTTTTATATAAATATCTATAGATACTCTGAGTAGAATTGCATTGACTTAAAATGCTGGTTTGTTTGGCTGTGAAGTATTAAGTCAACATCAGATGGTAAGATAAACAGAAGAGAAAATGGTCCATTGAGTAGGCGATTCTCTTTCACCGACCTTTGAGTTTATGGTAATGATACCTGTATTTAATTTCCTAGGCAGCAGCTCTGAAATCCTTATTAGAATTGATTCCCGAATTAATTGAAAAGGAAGATGCATACAATTCCATCATGAAAAGCTATGGTAATACGTTTAATTTGACTATATTATTTAAGTGGTTTAAATATTTGTGGTATAGTCAACTAAGTCTTAATCTTCAGCTCCAAAGCAATAATCCTAAATATCTGATGATTATGATGTAAACAGTTCACTTAGTTCTAGGATATATTTTAAAACCATATTTAAGAGCAATCTTATCACTGAGCATCTTCAGTGTGGAATATGTGAAGAACGTGTCCCGGGCTCCTGGAAAGACCTTGAAGTCCACTGGGACTTGCACAGCAGGAAGCAGTTGATCCCCCAAGGCCCTGCCTCGAAGTGTGGCGGGAAGGGCAGGAAGAGGATACACATTTGAAACTATCACTTGACTTGCCTCCTTGCTCCTCAGCACCTTCTCCACCCGCCCACCTACTCCCCTGAAATAACAGATCCCTTAATTAAAAAGTTGCCCAAGGTTTCACCTTACGTATGAGTTGATTCCAGTCTTTAACCAGTTTGTTCCTGATAGCCAGACAACCATGAAATGGGACCAGTCTAAAATTTCCTCAGTAATCAAAATAAATGTCAGCATTTCTAAGTCATGATCACCTATTCGTCTGCCCCCACCATCTGACTCACTCGAGGCATGAAGTGAATAAAGAATTGCTAAGTGTTGGCAGAGAAGCAGACTCAGAGATCATTCTTCCACCCTTATGAGAGGAACATACTTCAAAACAGAGTTGTAATCATGACACTTCTCAAATTTCATGTAACTAACGTGAAATAGTGTCAAATGCGTAAAACTGGGTGTATTACTGCTGAATTAGGGGACTTAACTTGGGGGTGGAAGGCAGGAGGTCAGGAAGTAGAGCAGGGAGGGGTGTTCTAAGCAGCTTCCTAGAAGGTGGTGCCATTGGCCCCTGGCCATTGTAGGGGATGTCTTGGGGCCTGTAGGAAGTGCAGCCGGGAACTCTCACAGGAACATGGCTGTGCCCAAACTGGTCCAACTCCAGGAAGAGCTGATGGGTCATCACCCTTGGTTCCCTTCTGAGAAATTCTTGGACTGACTGCTGACTTCTCACATCTGTCCTGGGCTTCCCCTGGCACTGCTGGAGTTGGGTTGGTAAACAACACAGGCGAGGTGGCAGTCGTCAGGGCTGTAGATGTTAGCAGGCAGAGCAGAATCAGAGGAGTTAAGCTGTAGTCGTGGTGGCATGTGCTGGGTGCTGCTGTTCACAGGCAGAGGCTACGTGGGAAGCTGGAGTTCAATTCCCAGCCCACTCTAAAAGCTTCAGCACGGTGGTGCTACCTCTGAAGCTGAACGATCACAGCAAAGCAAGATCTGGTCTAAAGTTACGCCATGTTTGCACACAGACACACACACACACAGTGATTAGCACTAGTGATTGTTAGCAGAGCCCATGTAACCGTTACCGAGAGTAAACGAACACAGAGTTTCTGAAAACCTGCCACACGTGGAAAGCCAGCTAACCTCCTGGATTCCTTCACCATTCACGTCAGTGAAATAGTGGTGACTTGTCAGTGGCTCTTGTAGATTTTTTGGTATCATCGTAGCTAATGTTTCTCCATATTTGCTTATTTTGCAGTGGGGAAATATACCGGAAGTCAGTCTGGTGTCGTAACTGATGTTCTTGATAGCGATGTAGGTAGATTTCCACATAAGTGTGGATTGTAACAGAAGAGGGTTGAATGGTGTGTGTTTATTACACTACAATTGAGGACTTTAGTTTGTGGTCACTTTAATTATGTGGGTCTTCAAAATAATATAATTTGTCTTAAGTGAAACAAGATTGGGAAAAAAAATTGATCATTGTTAGAGCTGGGGGTAATTGGTAATGAAGTTCATTAAAGTAGTCACTCTAGTTTTAAAAAAATAATATAATAACTTAAGTGGATGATACCATTAATATTAGTGTAAAGGCCTTTAAATATTTGTCATTTTCCTTCTCTTTCATCGTGAGCGATGCTGAATGCGTGGTATAAAGGAGTGAGGGCGTTTGTAGATTCCGAGTGTGGCTTCCCATTGGGGGAGTTAAGTATTCTTACCTCTGGGATAAAAGGACCCAGGAGTCCCTGGGCTGCTATGGATTTTAAGGAAAAGGGGAGCTAGGTTGTGTTTTGTCTGTGATTAACATCCTTTTCTTCTTTAACTTTGTCAGTCTTAGACAAAGATGTCCCATCTGCTAAAGCACTATATGAAAATTTGACTGCAAGAAATATCAAATTGAATGATTTGTCTCTGAAGCGTTATGCAGTTTTGCTGAAGAATGCCGGAGAGCCAGTCCCTTTCACTGAGCCCCCTGTGAGTATTTCTTAATTAAGGGGAGAAAATACCTCTACAGATTTATGTATGCTTCATAACAACGTGTAAAAAAATAAGTTGAATGCTTAATTACTTGAGGATTAGATCTCTGTGAAGAACCCTCGGGGGAGGGCTCGGGCGGCTGAGCGGCCTGCCTTGGCAGTAGCTGCGGGAGAACAGAGCCCTTGGGGCTGAGGTTTAAAATACAAGGTCTGTCTCGGACCCTCAGCTATGGGAGTGAATTCATCAAATGTCCTTGGGGCACTTCTCTCATCATCCCAACTTGAAATAGGATTTAATGGCCTGTATTTCAGTAGCCAAGCATATTATGTCACTGTTCATTATTTTAATAAGATGGGTTTTATTTCTTCATCTGGGAGAGTTTGTTCTATTTTGTTTTCTTTAATAAGAGAAATCACATGTTCAGAATTCCTTTATTTCGTGTCATTGAACTGAAAGTCACTGCACCAGGTGTGTTTCGAACTCCTCAGGCTTCCATACCCAGGTGTGGGTACCTGGACGCAGGCAAGCCAGTGTACACAGCAGGGGCTCTGGGGCTGGCTTTAACTCTGAACTTGGGGCCTTAGGGCTGGCAATGTCCCGAAAGAGGAAGCCGTGCTGGAGGGGAGGTGGCCTCTGCGGTGGCCCCACAGCCTCTGCAGTGCTTTGTCATTTTTAAGTTTTGTGCCTCACCTCTTGCTGGTGACTTCATCTGTGACTTTCTTCCTTTTCTGTCTCCTCTACAGGAAAGCTTCGAATTTTATGCAAAGCAGTTAAAGGAAGCAAGGGAAAACGCTTTGTGAAACAAGCTGGCAGTACTGTGTTTTGTATGTATATGTGATTCTGTGTCTAAATGTTTATTTTTAAAGTTATTTGAGAGGAAAAATAAATAAGTGAAACATTACTTTGGATATGTACTTTTATTTTTAATATGTGGTACGTTAACATCTGACTGACAATGACTGTGTGCCCTTAGTCACTAGGCTTATTTGGAATTTGTCTACAACATAAGTTTACACCATTTTCTTAAAGGGTCCTGGTGTCTGAAGTCATACTTTCCAGGGTTCTCCCACTTCAGTTTGCCCACTCGATTTTATTTATTGTTTCATTAAAAATGCTATACCTTTTTGCAGACTTGCTTGTTAGGACTGTTTATTTGAACAATTTTGGAACAAGAAAAAATGTGATACTCAGTAAATCAGTAATGTGACATCTTTGGTGACAGCCCAGCTCCTTACATCCGAGAAGTCCTGCTTATGTTTGATTTTGGAAAACATTGGCATCAAGAGTCATCAGATTTATGCTCATCATTTTCCAGTGAGAAGCTGAACCCCAAAGAGATTGCTGCTTGCCCTCAGGGCCTTGGGTGCTGTCGCTGGAGGCCCCTCACTCTTCTCTCCCTTCTTCCTGCCCCACCATGGTGGCTGTCACGGGCCTGTGTTCATAGAAGTCTCTAAAACTGCGTCATGGTCATGACTTTTCATTTAAATACATATACTGTTTACGCATAATTATATAAAGGGGTGAAATCTTGGGTTTTATTTAAATTTTTAAATAAAAGTTATCCTCGTATGATCTCTCATGGCTGTTCATATGTGCATTTGTGGGTAGGTAGTTTTAAAGATGCAATGTGGGTAGTTAAGATTAATTTAACATTGGCCTATTGGGGGAATAGATAGCTAATTAAAAATGTTTTATTTGAGAATGATCATTTTAGGGTATTCTTTGTCCGCTTGAATTTCTTCTTTTTCTTTTTTAATTGTCAGAAGGTACATGCATTTGCTGGAGAGGGAGGGAGGGAAAAGACACCCCCCCCCCAGTGGAGTGTAGTCATGCCAGAGTCTCCTCTTCTCCATTTCTCCAGCCTGTTGGGATTTGGGTCACACAAGCATATGCATCCACCATGTTTTTCAAACTGCCAGAGCCAGGATTTGAACCTCAGTTGACCCTGTAGGATCTGGCCTGTTTGTCCACTAGGCGATGTGGTTAGACCTGTCGACTGAGTTTGATGACTGCCTACTCTGCTGTTTTCAGTGCCAGCTTGGTTCCCAGTGTTTCCCACAAGGGTGGTCTTGCCTGGGGGAATATGTGGGCCTCTCGCTGTCTGTGCTGTTAACCTGTCTTGTGGGCACCGAGGACAGGTGCACCGGAGTGAAGCTCCGGTGTGTGTGTCCAGTGCCTGCCTGAGGATGATGGCGAAGGGGGCTTGACAGAGAGAAGCTGCGAAGTCAGTGTGAGCCAGGCTTTTATTTCACTCTTCTGTAGAGTCAGACCTAAGGGAACAGGAGGTTTGGTCAATGCCGAGTCCCTGCCTGGAGGGCAGAATGAAGCAGCCCTCTGCATAGCATGGGTACGAGACCTGTACTTGGTGGTAGCTCCGCTCCTGTCTGATGTGTCAGGAGCCTCACTCCGGTGCTCCTGTCCTTGGTGATTCTGCTGGAGCCAGCCTCGTTTTGGAGCCATGCTTGACCACAAGTTACTTGAGCTAAGGTTTATCTGTGTTCATTAAAATAGGCCTCTCAGGTGAGGCATAACCTGAACGCATTTGTTTCAGGAGAAACTAAAAGTACAATCATTTGCCTCAAGGGACTCCCAGCTGGCCCCCTATTTGGGCCAGTAAAATGTGGACGGAGTAACGAAGAAATCAGCAAAAGCCCTCACCTGGCATTCTGCCAGCAGGTGGGGGCCTTAAATGTATGCGTTAGAGAATTTTCTAGTCAAATACTTTTAGCACTGTATCGGTTCCCCTTTGGAATGTAAATATTTAAAGTATAATAATTGTACAGTCCAGGTGGCCTTATGATTGCTTTCTAAATATCCAGTAGCTATATGAAAGAAATACAGAATAAGTGAAATGACAGCAACTCTCTTTAATACATTTTAGGTTCATGAACAGCTAATTCTAAACTGTAATGTCATTGTAAACTTTCAGAAAGAATAGTATTTTATATGTAATTTTGTGTTCACATATTTGAACCTAATATAATTTTAATGTGAAATGCTTTGAATAAAGTGTATTCCAAGTATCTGTGGAACCTTCATTTTTTATCAGATATTTGCGTGACTGCTTTAAGCTCTTTCAGAGGGTTTCAGTTTTAAATTTGTAAGTTTTGTGGTGACCTCTGTCATGATCACAATTTCCTTGTTAAATGGCTTGAAGCTTGTGTGTGGAGAACCAGTGAAGGCACCGCTTCATCTGTGCTGAAAACATTCATTTCATTTCCATTCCGTGGAGATCTCTGAGGGACAGAGTGGGCAAGAATTAGAAGCTGGAACTTGGAGGAAGGGTTCCATCCTGCATGACGGGTCAGGAGTGTTTTATGTCTCCATGGGCGGCTGGGCTTCACCCATGCCCCACGCACAGGTCGTCTTCTGCACTTGACCTTTTCCCAGGAATGCTCGCTGAGCCCCCCCCCCCCAGCATATTAACGTTCCCTCTACACGGCTTGCATAGCCACCTCAGCCAAGCAGGGGTCAAGGGTGGCTTCCACACAGATGGTGAACTCCCTAGGACACTTCTGGTCTATCCTCCATCCTAGCGCAGTGCTGGCTGCAGCAGGCTCGCAGTGAGGCCAGTCATCGCTGGTCGTTTTCTGGTTCTTTGTGGTAGCAGGTAGCTCCTGCTACCATGCTGTGCACCCCACTTCCCAGTTTTCACAGTGAGAAAACTCAGGCTTGCGTAAGTGAATTTGCCTTGAATCCTAGCAATAAATCACATGGCCAGGACTCTGACTAAAGTCATTTCCTTTCTTTGCGGGGGGAGGGGGGGGGGAAGAATAAGCAATCTAGTTTCAAGGTCAATTAAAAATCCAGAAAAATCTTGGGACCAGCAGATGGCGTAATGGCTATGTCACTGAACTCCCATGTAGCTGACCGCAGTTCGAGTCCCAGACCCAGTGGCTTAAACTCACACTGGGCGTGTGTGCATGCATGCCCATGATCCCAAGAGGAAAATGGAGAAGGGATTGCAGTGTGGCAATGAAGTGACTTCTCGCTGTCTCTGTCTTTCTGGCAAGCGCACACACCCTATAGCAAAAAGCCTCTCCAGAAAAAATGAAAAGAAAAAAATATCCAGAAAAATCTCAAGCTAGAATCTAGTTGGAAAAAATTCTAGAATATTTTATTGATAAAAGCCTTTGGCATTAATACAGGTGTTCACAGTTTCTGGAGACCTTAAGCTGATTAAATGATAGTTTATTTTCTTTTTTTTAAAAAATATTTATTTTTATTTATTCATTCATTTTTTTTGTTTTTAAATTTGACCAGAGAGAGACACACAGAGAGAGAGAGAGAGAAAGGGACAAAGGAAGCCAGGTCCGGGACTCGAACTGTCTGTGGTTAGCCATGTTGGAGTGTCCAGCACCTTAACCACCACGCCACCTGCTGGTTCATTTTCTACCATTTAATCAAATATCCAATGCCTGCCAGAATGTTCATGTTTATAAGCAGCAGTAAATCATTAAGCAAGATTTATATGGCAAATCGTTCTTCCCACGACAGTTTTTTTTTGTTTTTTTTTTTTTTGAGAGGTTTTTGCTATAGGGCACACGCGCTCACCAGAAAGAGAGAAACAGAAAGCGAGAAATCACCCCCCACAGGGATGGCCACACCGCAATTCCTTTTCCTCCATTTTCCTCTTGGGATATTGGGCACACACGCACATGCGCCCAGCGTGAGTTTAAGCCACTGGGTCTGGGACTTGAACCGCGGTCAGCTACATGGGAGTCCAGCGACATAGCCATTACGCCAACTGCTGGTCCCCAGGACAGTTTATTTCTCGTCTGCAGTGCGTATATTCTGCATACTTTTTTCTCATGTTTTTGAGTACAATTTTCATTTAATAGTTGTCTCTCTGGCAAACCAATATTTGTAGAGTTTCTATAAATGAAAGCAACATCTGAAGTATCAAACTAACAGCCACAGGGGGTGCAAAATCATGGTAATTTATCAGTTTGCTATTACATGATATAGCAAGAGAGTGTTTCCCTTAGAAATGTGTCCTGCTTTGGAACCAGCAGTTGGCATAATGGCTATGTCACTGGACTTCCAGGTAGTCAACCACGGTTCGAGTCCCAGACCCGGTGGCTTAAACTCATGCCGGGCACGCATGCATGCATACCCAAGATCCCAAGAGGAGAATGGAGAAGAGGTTGCAGCGTGGCCATCCCTGGGGGGGGGAGGGGGTGGTGTGATATTTCTCGCTTTCTGTCTCTGTCTTTCTGGCGATTGCACACACCCTATAGCAAAGAACTCTGAAAAAAAAAGAAAAAACAAACATGTATCCTGCTTTCAGGCCTGCAGACTTTACAAAGCCCGTGTCATGCAGCCTTGGTACAAATAAAGGAAATGGCTGCATTAGCAAACCCAAAACAGGCACTTCTCTTTTTTTAATTGCTTGAAGAAACCTCAGGCCCCGGTGTTTAACCAGCCTCAGGCTTCCTTCCCCTCACATGTGCATGACAAGGGTGGCTGCCAGGCCTGTCCTTAGCGTTCTCAAAAGTAGCTTCTTCACAAGACAGCTCCCCTCTCCCCCTGCGCTTGCTGGAATTCTCTTCATCATTGCCTTTTCTCCACGTGCTCCCCCAGGACGGGAGCACTCCCAGTGTGCTGCAGACCTACCCGTTGGAGCAGAGCCTGGCACTGGTGGGTGCCGGGTAGGCATCGCTGAACCCATGAGCTCAACACCATGTCTTTCAGGGTCTCGTTCTTTCTGAGATGTGGGGTTTGGGCGTATTGGTGGAATTCCTGCCACACACTTGTCTTCATAACAGATTCAAAGATGTGACGTCCTAGTCATTTAGGTCAGAGCTAGAACATTGGGAGTTGAAGTCTAAGAAATCCCTTAAAACCTGAGTGCCCACATACAGATCTTTTTTTTTTTTTTTTGAGAGGTTTTTGCTATAGGGCGCATGCGCTCGCCAGACAGAGAGACAGAAAACGAGAAATCACCCCCCAGGGGGGATGGCCACACCACAATCCCTTCTCCATTCTCCTCTCGGGATCTTGGGCACGCACGCACACGCGCCCGGCGTGAGTTTTTTAAGCCACCGGGTCTAGAACGTGAACCGTGGTCGACTACATGGGAGTCCAGCGACATAGCCATTACACTAACTGCTGGTCCCCACGTACAAATTTTAAAAATTGCCAGAGGACACATGTACTCACCAGAAAGGGACACAGAAAGAGAGAGGAGGAAAGCAAGAAAGCACCGTGTATGAAGAAGGGTCATGCTGTAGTCCCCTCTCCTCCCTCCCTGCCTTCGGGATTTTGGGCACACGCTCCTAGAGCTTCTCAAGTCAACGGTCTGGAACTCGAACAGCATGGCGGGCCATGTGGAATCCAGCCACCTTCACCACCAGGCCCATTTTCACGTTGACTGTCAGGTGGCAGAGTGCTCACAAATGTGTGATCCAAGTCAGCATTGACTGAGCCGAAGCACAGGGCAAAGATGCTGTGCAGTAGTGGAATCAGCCAAAAAATAATAATAACGAAGACATGCTTTATTTTTAGCATGAAGCAGTAGAGCTTTTTAGCAATTTAGGGAAACAAGAATACTTTCGGTTTTACAAAAGGACAAGACACTCATGTAAGTGACAAAGGTGAGCCCTATTACACAGTAAGTGGAGAAGTGTTACTGAGTTGGTATGTGTTTTAAAATCTCAGCCCACTGCTCAAACGTTTTAATTATTAGCTGCTAACACCACACGTGCGGCTCTTCCCTGCTCGCCAGCTAAATATGGGCTGCGCTCCCTCTGCCTGCCTGAGCTTTGTCGCTGCCGCAGGCAGACCATAGGATCAGACATGGGACGTTGCTCTAGACTCAGGTCACTTTTTTTTTTTTTTTATTAATGAAGAATCGACTTATCAAATATGAATGACAGGTGCCGTGAGATGCAGATGCCCTCAGACTATTTGCAAATAAGGACGTATCTTTCAGGCTCGAGCATCGGATATGTTTTCCAAACAAGCACAGGTCAAATGGCACGAGGCTCCATCATGTCCCTGCACACCAGCCCCGTGCTCACTTCCGGGCCTGTCTAGTGCTCCAGCCCTCTTGGTGAGCGGGGCTCAGATGCCAGCGGTTGGGAGGCTGTGCTAAGCTCCTCTGCTAAGTGACTGACGTGAGTCTCAGTAGGACCGCTGGCCCCAGGGCTGTTAACACTTGGGTTCCACATAGATTTAAAGATCTCTGCTGCTAGCTGTTTAATCTGGGATCAAGACACGGATTGAGGAAAAGTGGGAGAAAAGAACACAAAAGCAAATGCGAGATCTGCTTCTGTAGACCAGCTTAACCCAGGGCAAGATTACATTTTATATACGACTTCCAGGAACAAGAGCTAGGAAAATCACATCAGAAAGTATTTGAGTCAATATAGAGAATTATGTTCTGTTTAATTAAAATTCCCCAGTCAATAGCATAACTTGAAATTGGAAGGCTTAAAATGCAAATTTCAAAACCTTTACCTTTTGATCCAGGGTCTGCAAACTACAGCCTCAGGCGAAATCCTGCAAGCTGCCTGCTTTTGTAAGCAAGACTGTGTTGGCACCCAGGTACGCCCCACACTTGCTCACTCGACGCTGAAACAGCAGGCTTTGGTGATGGCCAGGGAGGCTACCTGGCCCAGGGAGCCTAAAATATTTACCTAAATACCATTTTCCACGAAGAAGAACCAAGAGTCTTTAAAGAAAAGCCTGATTCCAGGACTAGGGCGGGAAGACACAAGATGAGCCTGAAACACTTCGCTGTGTCAGAAAATCCTCAAGAAATGATGGGAGCATGTCAAAAGGATACAGAAGCCAGCTTGAAGGGGCTCCCGCTGGCGAAATTAGGGACAAATGGAACATCTAAATGAATGAGTGCAAAGGAGTACAACCAAGTGAGCGAAATGGAAAGCCACAAGTCTAGACTGATGAAATAAGAAATCGAGTGAATGGCGAGTTTGATGAGGAAGGAGCAGTTTACAGTTTCGAAGGACTCTAGCACAAAATACTTAGGAATTACAAAAGGAGGGGGGATAGTAACATGGCTGTGGAGAGCCTGCAGACCCTTTGGTCACGTGATCAAAGTGAACAATGGCTACGTGACAGCTGATATCACGTGAGACTTGCTAGGGATGCACGGAGAACAGTGTCGCTTCTGTGATATTCCCGCCAGAGGTGGAATTGAATCACAAAAATACATCAGACAAACCCAAACTGAGAGACAGCCTATAAACTCTTCATGTATCAAGGTAGTGAAAGTGAACAAAAGCAGAGAAACTCCTGCACGGAAAGAGGGGCATGGAGCCAATGCTTATTTCGGAGCTGCGTGCACTGGCTCTGAAGGGCCTGTCAGAACACAGCGAGTCCTGAACGGGGTCTGGGCATTGGAGAGTAGCAGTGTCCCATCTGAATTGTTGGCTGCACTCATAAAAGGGCATCGGAGGGCGAATGACCCATGCTAGAGTACCGCTTCTCAACCGCTACGCAAGGCGGGTCTTCATTTTAAGAGAGATTTTTGCTATAGGGCTGTGTATTCTTCAGAGAGATAGAAAGTGAGAAATCACCCTCCCAGGGGGGATGGCCACACCACAGTCCCTTCTCCTCCATTCTCCTCTCGGGATCTTGGGCACACACGTACACACACCCAGCATGAGTTTCAAGCTGCGGAGTCCCCTCAACTCAAACTATGATCCATTATGTGGGAGTCCAACAATATAACCATTACACCATCTGCTGGCCCCAGGGGGAGTCTTCTTAAAATGTGGATTCTGGGACCAGCAGGTAGTGCAATGATTATGTTGTCAGACTCCCACGTGGCCGACCACAGTTCCAGTCTCGGACCCAGGGGCTTAAAACTCACATTGGGCGCATGTGCATGCATGCCCAAGATCCTGAGAGGAGAACGGAAGAGAAGGGATTGCAGTGTGCCCATCGCCCTTGGGGGTGGGGGGCTGATGTCTCACTTTCTGTCTCTCTGTCTCTCCGGGGAGCACACGTGCCCTATAGCATCAAAAGTCTCTAAAAAAAAATTTTTTTTTTTTAATGTAGGTCCTAACTCCATAGATCTGGGCTAACAGAGATCGTTTGTCTAATCATCTCCCAGGGGAAGTCCATGTTGCTGGTTCAGGAACTATCTTGACTTAACAAGGGCCAATTTACTGTTCACCTCCCACCCACCTTACTGGTTCTTTGATTCCAGGCTTTAACTTCCCTTTGGAAACAATCCCCTCCTACTCTCTGTGTACCTGTTAGATGGTCCTCAGCTCTCAACTCTCAGCCATGAAGCATGCGGTGGGCCTGCACCATTCCATGCCTCTGCAGGGTTCAAAGCCAGCCTTGAGACCTGCTAGGCTCAGTGAAATGCAGCTCTAAGAGGCCTAGCTGAGCTAACTCTCTATAAACATGTCTTCTAGAACCTTCCTGGGCTTCAAGGCTTCATCGCAGCTCAGGCTGTGCCTTCTAGCAAGGGAGTGTGTTCTTCTATCTCCTAAGGGCCTCAGAGGCTGACCCTCACCTGACTCCACTATAGCGTAGCCATGTGACCTTAGCCGACCGCATGTGTCTGTGCCTCAGTTTCCTCACCTCTGCAATCCGATACCGCTTACCTCAAAGGGGGTTGTTTGAGAACGGAATGAAGACGGATGTCACCCACGTAAAGTGTTCTGTTTGCAATGTACCTGCCACAGAGCAGATGCTTGATAAATCTTTACTTGTTCCCTTTGGCTTTTGGAGCAAAGGACTTCACAGAGGAGGGATGGCATCGCATTTGGTGCAGTTTAGGTCACTTCCTACGCAGAGTGGCTTTACTCGGAGTTTGGGGACGCCAGCTGTTGTTACTCTACCCTGAGGCCTAAGGATTCTGTGTAGCCTAGGACTCGATTCCTATCTAATTTGCTCCCATCCTATACTGAATTGGTTGTAGAAAGACATGTTGAAAGGAAATAAATTAGCAATGTTGTAGGAGCCAGCAAGTACTGGTTTTCTCAGGCCCGCAACCACAAGCTCCGGCCAGCGAGCAGGAATCCCTCCAACTGTCTTTATTCTACTGCCATCCTGTGGCAGGTCTGGGCCAGTGCAGCGCCGCGGCGGGATGGAGCCGACCGCGCGCTACGGTTGTCCTCAGCGTCCGGGGGAAGGGGCTCCGGCGGGAGGGGAGTGCTGTAGAAGACGTCCTTCGGTCCTGACTGGCGGGGCGGGAGTCCGGTGCGAATCACCAGTCTTGACTTGATTTCTGTTTGATGAACCTCAAGGACAGGTAGTAGAGGACCAGGTAGCCCCCGCAGAGGCCGAGGAGGATGAGGTAGATGGCGTAGAGCGGGTGTGCGTTCAGGCCCATGGCATGGAGGAGCTGGGGACACAAACAGCCGGTGAGCTCGGGAAGCAGAGGTTCGGCCCCTGGGAACCAACTCAAGATCCGAGGCCTCGGCTACTTACTGTGTCTCCCGGGACTGGGATGGTGAGGTTACCCAGTGGTATCGGGTAGGGGCGCTCTTTAAACTGGACCTGCATCAGCCCGTCGAAACACCAGCGCAGGAAGGACACCTCGGAGATCCAAGCAGGCACTGAAGACGGCGAGAGCCATGTTACCCACGCGTTCCACCCAGCGGTTCCTGTCTACACTGGGGAAGTGTGTTCATCTGGCAAGGGGACCCTGGTGCCTCTGGCCTGACAGCAGTGAGCACTCTGAGCAGTGAAGAGGGAAGAGTGGACAGAAGGGCCAAGGACAGGGGCAGCCTGGACACTGCAGAAGCCAGGGCCAGGTGGCTGTGGATCACCACCGTGGTCCTGACTACGGAGAGACAGACGTTGCTTCAGGGGCCTGTGCCAGCTCCAATGCTTGGAGCTCTAGGGCCATGGAGGCTCCCCTGCGCCAGGGATGGCTGGGTATGGGCTCTGCTTCTTTGGCCAGATCACGGCGCTGGCAGGAGGAGGAGGCGATCAGCCCTGCTGGCTTCCTCAGGGAGGCGTGGGCCAGGCTTGGGGGTGAGAGCATGGAGCATGCCAGGTTTCCAAGAGTAGGGGAGGCAGCAGCGAAGGCGCAGGCCCTGCAGAAGGCAGAGACCTGGATTTGCACCTCACGAAGCTCACTGCGCATGGACAGAGTTGAGAGCTGTAGAGGGACCAAGATCAAATGATAAGGCCAGAGCCAAGGGGGTATTTCAGACAGACTTAGGCTCCCTGGTGACTTGGAAGTGGAGGGAGTCCCAGGTGACTTGCAGTCATTGACCCTGGACACGAGGAGGCACCATCTGCACCTCTTAATGGAATCGCTCTGCTGGCCTACAGGGCAGGGGCCAAAGATGTCAGCTTCTGGAACCGCCATCCTGAGGTGCATCGGCATGATGAGTTTTCATCTCCAGACAAAAACTGGCCTGACGGGCCACAGACGGGGAGTGGGCCTCACCTGTCCATAGGTTGTCCAGGCTTATCATGAAGCCCCCGGTGAGGTAGAAGGAGTTGTAGAGGGCGTTGCCAAAGAAGGAAGACATTAGGGCCAAAGATGTCAGCTTCTGGAACCGCCATCCTGAGGTGCATCGGCATGATGAGTTTTCATCTCCAGACAAAAACTGGCCTGACGGGCCACAGACGGGGAGTGGGCCTCACCTGTCCATAGGTTGTCCAGGCTTATCATGAAGCCCCCGGTGAGGTAGAAGGAGTTGTAGAGGGCGTTGCCAAAGAAGGAAGACATGTGGAAGGTGGGGAATATGGCCGCGGTGCTCAGGGCCATGGCCCTGCAGCAGAAGACCACCAGCCACAACAGCAGGAAGTGCAGCAGGAAGGGCTCGGGGTCCGGCTGCAGGTTGGCCAGCCAGTAGGTGGGCATCACGTAGATAATGGTGTAGGCGCAGTGCTCCGGAAGCTCCCCTAGGACCTGCAAGGAACAGCCCTGCCCAGATGTGGAGCCAGCACCTTCGTCTGCCAACAGTTTAGCCCATTGGAAGGTAGCAGCCCCCAAGATGCCGTCTTCACTCCTGGTGATGACCAGGCTGCTGACGTGGGTGCGGTGGGTGCAGGCAGGAGGGACCCGCAAGTGCAAGCTCACTGCTGGCTTCTCCTGCACACACCAAGCACCTCTCTGGGGCAGCTCAGAGCCACTTCCCCCAGCAGGCAGCTGTGTCTGCTCAAAGACTACATTTCAAGTCCCCACCAGTCCAGCCCAGACGAGGTAGCCGTGTGGCCTTGGGAGAGCCTCGTGACCTCTGTGAGCCTTTGCTTCCTAGGAACACCTGCCCGACTGCTCCAAGGCTCTGATGAGGCAAAGGACACTAGGTACTTCCCACCTCTTCTTTTTATAGGTTCCTAAAGTGTTCCTAGTCCACAGTTTTGGCCTCTGGTTAATGTTGTAAAAGTATCAAGCCTCTGGAAGTACCCTGGGGAGCATGGCACCCACAATCACCCATGGCATGCAACCTGGTAGTTCAGTGGTCTGTACGCTATAGCTCAGTTTTCTCCACCCTCCACCCCTACCCTGGGAGTCACTTGCTGTCAACCCTGACCGGTCACCTTGGCAAAGAAGTATGGGCCAGCAGTGTACAGTCCGTCTTCCAGTTCATAGTAAAGCATCGCCCTCTCCGAGTGACCTACAGGGGTCGGGGTGGGGGAAGGAAAAAAAGGAAGTTTTTCCACCATGTCTCTGTTTTTGAATCTCTTCTAATGCAACTAAAAGTAGTGCTATTGCCTAAATGTTTTATAATTTCAAAAACAACTCCCAAAGCAAAAATCAGGCAGCGGGTCAGCAGGTAGCATGGTAGTTAAGGTGGTTGGATCCCTCATGGCCAACTCCGCAGTTTGAGTCCCGGACCCAGTGGCTTGAAAAATTCTCTGGGTGTGTGTGCGTTCATGCCCAAAATCCCAAGAGGAAAACGGAGGAAAAGGGGCTATGGCATGTTCATTACCTCTGGGGGTGACTTCTCACTCCCTCCCACCCCGGCTCTTTCTCTGTCTCTCTCTGGAGAGCACACTCTCCCTAGAGCAAAACAAAACGAAGCAAAAAGCAGGCAGAGCAAGCCAGCCTAGCCTCGATGCCTGATGAGGCCCCTCGGGCGTTGGGCTTGGGCTCCGGTTTTGTGGCTGTCAGGTCCAACTGTGCTGGGGTAGGAGCAGTAATTTGCTTTCATTTACATACTAACATTAAGGTGTGAACTTTAAAAACAATTATTGTCTTTCATTCAACAATTACAATGTGATTGAGCAAACCGGTTTCCCCGGGGGCGGGGCAGAGGGGTTCAGAGGAAGACAGAGGTCAGCCTGGGATCAGCTGAAAGGGCACTGACACCCTTATGTCCTGCTGGTCCACATCCTGGTCCCCAGAGCAGATGACACTCACATTTGGAGATGACATCCAGAATCACATTGAAAGGGATGAGCGCTACAGTCATGAACAGCAGGGCCGCTTTGTCCATGAAGGGGAGCTTGATGGCTCCGTGGCCGTAAAAGAGGAAGCCGATGGTCAGAGACATCAGGCAGGCCTCGGCCCCGTGGATGAGGAGGGTTGGCAGGTCTCGGAAATCATTGGAAAGCTGACGGCTTAAAACAAAAGAGGTGAAAGGGGACGGCATGCCAGGCCTGTCACCTTGGGCATAGATACCACTGAATCTGTTTCCCATCTGTAAAATGAGGCTGGGGGGCCAGCAGTGGTGTGGTGAAGGCGCTGGACTCCCACACGGCTGACCGTGGTTTGAGTCCTGGACCTGGCGACCTGCTTTCTCACTTTCCCTCTCTCTCTCTCTCTCTATCTCCCTCTGGTCAAATTAAACTAACTAACTAAATAAATAAAATAAAGTTCAGTAAAATCATTCTTTAAAAAAAAGTTAGGCTAGTGAGGGTCAGCAGGTGGCATGGTGGTTAAGGCACTAGACCCCCACATGGTTGACCATGGTTCAAGTCCTGGGCCCAGCAGCTTTAAACTGACACCAGAGGTGTGAGCATGTGTGCTCAAAATTCCAGGAGGAGGGAACCAGCAGTTAGCGTAATGGCTGTCTCTGGATTCCCACGTAGTCGACCACAGTTCGCGTCCCGGACCCGGTGGCTTAGAACTCACGCCGGGTGCGTGTGTGTGCGTGCCCAAGATCCCGAGAGGAGAATGAAGAAGAAGGGATTGCGGTGTGACCATCCCCCCTGGGGGGTGATTTCTCGCTTTCTGTCTCTCTGTCTCTCTCTGTCTGGCGAGTGTACGCACCCTATAGCAAAAACCTCTAAAAAAAAAATAATTCCAGGAGAACGGAGGAGGGACTATAGTGCAACCATCCCCCTAGGGTGTGAGTTCTCACTTTCTCTCTCACTGTCTCTCTGTCTCTCTCTGGCAAGCACATGTGCCCTACCACAAAAACCTAAAAAAAAAAAAAAAAAAACAAAAAAAAAGAAGCTAGCCATCTCCACTTTACAGAGTGGCTGTGAGGATCCCATCAGAAAATGGAAAGTGTCTGTCCCACAGTTTGGTACTCAATAAATGACTGATACTTTTATCATTGGTGTATCAGCTCAGCGATTTTATTTAAGGAAATTATCTTGAGGAAAAGATCAATCAGGTGCCTAAACATACACAAAGACAGTTGCTGTATCAATTTATGATAGCAAAAGCCTAAAAATAATTTGACCATTAGTATAAGGTGGGGGGGGAGGTCTTTAAAAAGTTGTGGAAAATGTATCTTATGAAAAAAAACTATGCATGGATTGCAAAACTTTTCTGCAGCACAATAAACTCATACTTTAATTCCATTCTTTCTTTCTTTCTTTAGATTTTTTTGCCATAGGGTGCAAGCACTTGCTGGAGAGACATAGAGACAGAGAGATGGAAGTGAGAAATTACCTCTCAAGGGGAAAGGCAGTCCCTTCTCAAGAGATTTTGGGCATGCACACACACACGTCTGGTGTGGTTTTTCAATCGCTGGTTCTGGGACTCAAACCCCAGAGTCAGCCATGTGAGATCTAGCACTTAACCACCATGCCACCTGCTAGCCTTAATTCCACTTTTCTATGAACTTTTCGAAGTTCCCTCTTATGGACTAGATGAGTAAATGAATTATAGTTAGACTGGCATCCTGAGGAAGGCCTAATCAGATGGCAGGTAGTGGCATTATTCCAGGCAAGTAAAAGCCAGCTACAGAACAGTATGCACGAAACGCTGGTGTGCGTGGAGACGTCTGGAAGGGCACATACCAAACAGCTGGGTCTGGTTTTCTTTGAGGAATTGTGTGCCACAGACCCTCCCTTCCCACCTAAGATTCTTGTGTAGTGTCCGAGTATTTTACAATGGCCCTGTGCTGTTTCCATGGTCATCTAGTTGTAAGATATTTTCATTTTGTTTAAAGAATTAAAGTAATGTCTCTGTGTCATCTGAGGGCTGAGGCTGGCCCCGAAAACAGTGGTTTTGGAAACAATTCTACCTCTTGCTTTGTCCTGCAAGTGCATTTTAGATAGCCAGAGCTTCATCTGATACACAGAGACTTTGCGGGGGTGTGAGTGGAGGGGGGTTGAAACGGCAGATAATTACCGGATCAGGGTGGTAAACTGCTGCACGGCCCCAGGTAGCTTGGTGGGAGTCTGGAGGCAGCTGGTGTCCTGCAAGAGGGCTGGGCTGTTGGGAGGGAGAATATGTGGCCTATTATGGGGGTGGCCACCTTCTGTGGGGGGAGCTTCCCCCCAGAGCTGCCCCGCCACCTTACCTCTCCACACAAGTGCCCACATCCAGCTCCCTGGCCTCTCCTTTCCACACAAAGTCGTCAAAGTCACGCACTTTTTCCAGAAACAAGGCCGCGAGGGACCGAGCCTTCTCCCTGGTGGCCTCTTCCTGCTCTCTGCTACGCCTGTCGATGCTGGTCAAGTCCACTGCAAGCAAAGGATGGGACCATGGGCCACCTGGTCTTGGCACCTGCTCTCAAGTGAGGAGCTCATGCCCCCGCCATGCTGGTCAGCCCTCGGGGGCTCCAGGGCATGCTCACCACCCTCTGAGAGTGCACCTTGAAGCAATGGTCAGAGCAGAAAGGGCAGAGGCCCAGGGCTGGCCTCTCTCTCTGTAGGCCTGACTGCACCTGCAGAGCCTTGGGTCAACAGCAGAGGGCTGGCTCACTGCCCCTACCCTGACTCAGTATGGGGAAATTCCTTGCTAGAGAAGGAGCCTCTGAGCCTGGATCATGGTTATGCCCAGGGCCCCAACTCCTGCTGTTCCAGAAGGCACTTACAGAGGGAGAATCTGGCCTCATAGGCAGGCCTGCCCAGAGGAGAAGACAGGATAACCAGGGGTGGGCTGAGTGCTTGGCTCCTGGCAACTCTGTCTCTCATAGCAAATTAATAATTTGGCTTCTTAGGCAGCCTGCCCAAAGTGAGAGGAGCTGGAGGGTGCCGGAGACCAGCCAACTCCCAGCAGGGTCTCACTGCCCTGTTCAGCTGCCCTGTCTGGGGGAGGAACCAGCACAACCAGATGGAGATAGGCTGCTACACACTCCTGGGTCCCTGGGGTGCTGCCTGTGGGGCACGCCTGGAGGCCCCCCTCACGCTGCCTCTGCCTTTCACCTCTCACACCCCTGCAAGGCCAGAAAAGGCAAGCCCACCTGATCTTAGCCAGGGCTTCCTATATGTAGCTCGCTCCAGGCCCAAGCATACCTTCCATCCTGCCTCCATCTTTCCTCAGCTAGGCCGGGGTTACGGCTCTACCTCTCCCTCCCATTCCGTAACACAGCTCAAGCCAAGACGACGTGTAGGAGCACATTTTATAAACCACACTGGCACCTGTGCCTGCCCTTCCACTCCCTGCACGTGTGCAAGGCTGCAGCACAAACACCAGACTCACCAGGTGCCCCCAGGCCCTGCCAGTTGAGGAGCCCTGCCCCAGGGCTTGTAGACAAGAGCCCTCACCTCCCTAACAAGAATCGGGTAAAAAAACAGGGGGAAAAACAAGGGTTTTGTTTCTACTATGGGCATTTGACTTCTGGTAACCCCTCTCTGGGGTAACTACAGGTTACTCTCCAGTGGCCAGGTTGGCAGGTGCCCTCTGCCCTCTTATCTGGGAATGGCTGGCCTGGGATGACACAGTGGCAGGAAGCCAGGTTGGCACCTGAGTCCAGGGAAGGGAGGTGACCTCCATGTGAGTTCACGCAGTGTGAGGACAGACAGCCAGTGCCCATCCTCTGTGAGAGGGCTGCAGGTGGCTTAGGACTCTGGGAGGAGGGCATGGGCCACAGGGCCAGGACCAGGGCAGGGCCAGGCACTGCGGTGGGAGCCCCAGTTCTGTGCCTTACAGCTGTGCCGAAGCAGGCAGGGTCCTTAGCTGTTCGGGCTCTGGTCCCCATCTGTAAAGATGGAGATGACCTGGGTCTGGCAGAGACATGAGGCTCCAAGAGGAGGCCCTTTGGAACTTGGTGCTTTGGGCCCCAGTGTGCCTGCGAGGAACGGTCGCCATCATCCTATTACTGGTGAGGTCCTTATCACACCTTGCCATCCAGGGATGAAGCAGGGGCTCCATGTGACCTATAGGACAAGTCACGGATGCTGCCTCCCCCAGCCGGGGTACAACCGTGTCACCTGTCCAGCAGCCATGCCAACCCTCAGCACACCAGACCCAGGCACCTGTCCCCCAGGAGTGAGGGAAGTGGCTCATGCTCTCCTGAGTACCAAGGTCTCAGGACTGAAGCTGAAAGGCAAATCAGGGGCTGCAAGGAGCTGGCATGCTAGAGCATCGATGGCTAGGCCCACCAAGAAGGCCCTGAGCCTGCCCGTGCCCCGGGTTCCACTGTGACACCTGCACTTGCAGGCTCCCTGCCCCTTTGTGGGCACCAAGGCAGTCTTCAGACTTCCCTGGCCTTAAATCCGAAATTCCCCTTCAGAGCATGAACAAGCGCCACAACCATAGAAGCTGACCCCAACCCTCTTGGATTCTAGCCCTTCTGGACCTTGGAGCACCCATAAAGTTTTTTAGTTTGTTTTTAATTTACATTTGCCATAGAGTGGCACACTGACCAGAGAGAGAAGGAGAGGAAAAATGAGAAATCACCCCCCGGGAGAGATGATCGCACCATAATCCCTTCTCCTCCATTCTCCACCTAGGATTATGGGTGAGCATGCACACAAGTCTGGCATGTTTTTCAAGAGTCCGGGTCTGGGACTTGAACTGTGCTGGCCATGTGGGGTCTAGCTGCCTTAACCTCCACACCACCTGCTGGCCCCAAGCTCTCATAAGTTTCGAATCGATCATGCCCAAAGGGCAGCTGCTAGTCAAAGCTGCTTTTCTCAGGTCCTCCTTCCTAGCACTCGGCCCCTGGCCCACTGGCCCACGCTCTCCACACCACTTTGCCCAGCGCCGCTTCCTCATCTCCCCTCTCCTGAACGTCTGAGAGTTTCTGCCTGAATCTCAGCAAGCTCGGGCAGCACCGAGGGGCAGGGAGCCCTGGGTACTGGATCGCCGGCCGCTGGCCGCTGGGCTTGTGGGCTTACCGTAGAAGTCAGCGGGGTTGCTGTACCGAGGACAGGGGTGGCCGATGGCGGTGAAATACTGGACCATGTGCTGGGCTGTCCCCAGGTAGATGGTGGTGCCGGACGTCATCAGGAGGACCAGATCGAACAGCCTGAAGATGTCCGACCGAGGCTGGTGGAGGGAGATGAGCACCAGCCTGTTGCCCTTGGCCAGCCGGGACAGGGTTCTCACCAGGTTGTGGGCCGTGAAGCTGTCCAGCCCAGAAGTGGGCTCATCCAGAATGAGGATTCCTTCCCAGAGAAAGGCCCGGTCAGTCAGTGGGTCACTTCCTCGGCCAGGCCAAGCCCGAGTGGACACTGCAGGCCCCCACTTCCTCCACCTCCCACGCCCCTCACCTGGGTTCCACAGAAGCTGCACCCCAATGCTGACTCTTCTCCTCTCGCCCCCAGACACCCCCCGCACATACGCGTTGCCCACGCGTGTGTTGGCGCACTGCCGCAGCCGCAGCTCCGCGATCACGTCCTCCACCTGAGGGCCAGGCAGGGGCTTCAGAGGTCGCTCCCCAGCTTCCCTCGGGCTGGATGTGTTTGTCCCCCAAACATAAAACCACCCGTTGCTCCGAGGTGGAGGGGGTACGATTTAAAGCAAAGGAGGACAGAGGACAGTCATCTCGCAGATCCTTCCGATGTGCCGGGCAAACATGGCCGTGTGCTGGGACCTGACAGGTGAGCTTCCTGCCCAATGGGGGACCAATGTGTACCTCAATAAACTCATCACACGTTTGGACAAGTGCCTTGAAAGAAACGACCGGGACTGGGGAGGCTTGCAGAAGGCTGGGGTTCACAGGACCGAGGCGGGGTTGGCACGTGGCTGACTTCCCTGGGTGGGTGAGTGGATGGTGAGCTACGCTGCTCAAACCCCACCTGTGACTGGGTCCTGTGGCAGGAGAGGGGGAGAAGGGAGGGGCAGCCACCCGGTCAGTTACCCTTTTGTCACGCTGGGCCTGGGAGAAGGTTCTGGGAAGGCGGATCTGGGCGATGAAGGCCAGGGTCTCGCGGACAGTCAGGTTGGGGAGCAGCTGGTCGTGCTGGCGCACGTGGGCCACGCACTTCCTCATCAGCTGGGGCGTGCTGGGCTGCCCGTTGATCCGGACCTGGCCTGACTTAATCTTGCCGCCGTGGCCTCTGCCAGTGATGACGTCCAGCAACGAGGCTCGGCCACAGCCTGCAAAGGCACCAGAGACACCCCTGAGAGAGAGCAGAGCCCTGTGGGACCAGCCCTGCAGCCGCTAGCGTCTGAACTGCTCTGTCCTTGCTGATGTGACCCGCCCCCAGGGAAGGTGCCACAGCCTCTGCTCCTTGGAGGGGCAGCCTGGCCCATGATGCTCCAGGCCTCTTGTCTGTAGTCAACCTGGATACCTCTGGGGGGGTGGGGAGCACTGATGCTAGCGTTCAGGCCAGGTGAACCAGGAGCTCCATGACGAGACGCTGGCGTCCTGGCTGCCCCAGGCCTGCCGGTGCCCAGAGCGGTCCCCTCCCACCGCTAACTGATGCCCTTTCTCCCCAAGCCAAGCTGGTGTTAATTGTGCTGTGACGTGGAGCCATTTATGGCTGGCAAACATTTCAGCAACAGCTCACCATCCTATGTCATCTGGCTCAGAGGCTGGCTTTGTGGGAAGGACTACTTTAGAGTATTAATAGAATGTCTTTTAAAAATGCAAAAAAAAAAAAAGACCCTATTGGGACCAGCAGGTGGTGTGGTGGTTAAGGCGCTGGACACTCCCACATGGTTGGTCATAGTTCGAGTCCTGGACCTGGCGGCTTGCTTTTGCATTTTCCCTCTATCTCTTCCTCTGTGTGTCTCTCTCTGGCCAAATTAAAATAAAACAAACAAATAAATAAAATAAAATAAAAATAAAAAAGACCCTATTTTGAGAAACAGAGAAGAAAAAACAGAGAAGCAATCGAATTACAGCACAGTATACACATCTGTTCTGCATGTGTCTGTGTCCTTCTCGCTCTTATTTTATCTGCAATACTTTTCACTCTCTCTTCAAAACAAAACAAAACAGATCAATTAGTCTCAGGTTAATACCATCTACTTTTTTTTTTTTTTTTTTTTTTTAGTTTACCAGAAGGTATGTGTGCTGACTGGAGAGAGACCGAGAGAGGGAAAATAAGAAGGCGCCCTCCGTGGAGGATGGTCACGCAGCAGAATCCTCCTGCCCCATGCCTCCCTCTTGTCAGGATTTTGGGTGTGCACGTGTGCCGGGTGTGTTTTTCAAATCACCAGGTCCAAGACTCTGCTGCATGGTCAGCCACGTGGGACCCAGCTCCTTACCCAGCACAACGCCGACTGGCTCAACACCATCCACTTCTGAGAGACATATCACTCACTGTCAATTCAGGGGAGTGAACATCAGATTGGATAGTTTCCAAAAGCATTGGCTGAAGCTCTTTCTTAGACAGCTTTTGTTTGTTTAATCGTTTTAACGTTTCTTTCTTTTTTTTTTTTGAGAGGTTTCTGCTATAGGGTGCGTGCACTTGCCAGAAAGACAGAGAGAGACAGAGAGACAGAAAGCAAGAAATCACCGCCCCAGGGAGGGATGGCCATGCCACAATCCCTTCTCCTCCATTCTTCTCTTGGGATATTGGGCATGCACACACATGTGCCTAGCGTGAGCTTAAGCCACCGGGTCTGAGACTTGAACCGCGGTCAACTACATAGGAGTTGAGCAACATAGCCATTACGCTAACTGCTGGTCTGTCGATTTAGTTTTTCACCAAAGGGCATGTGCACTCGCTGGAGAGGAGAGAGACAGGGAGAGACAGTGAAGAAGAACATAAGAAATCACCCAGAGGTACGGGCACGCCGCAACCCCTTCTCCTCATTCTCTTCTTGGGATTTGGGGGCGTGTATGTACATGCATCCAGCATGATTTTCAAGTGGCCGGGTCTGGGACTTGAATTGTGGTCGACCATGTGTAAGTCCAGCGCCTTAACCACACCACCACCTGCTGGCCCCCTTAGACAGCTTTTTAAGCTGTGACTGTGAATGGGGCTCAGGCTCCAAGAATACCTTCCTGCCACAGAGCTGGGCAAGAGCTCTGTCCAGTTCCCTGGTGGGGATTTGCTTTCCTTACTCTACATTCCTTCTAAGGAAAGTACATTTTCTTTCTTTTCAGAGAGGTTTTTGCTATAGGGCGCGTGTGCTCGCCAGAGAGACTGAGAGATAGAAAGCGAGAAATCAACCCCCGGGGGGTGGGGGGGTAGCCACACCACAATCCCTTCTCCTCCATTCTCCTCTCAGGATCTTGGGCACGCACGCACACATCCCTGAGTGAGGTTTAAGCTGCCAAATCTGAGACTCAAACTGCAGTCAACGACATGGGAGTCCAGCAACATAACCATTACGCCATCTGCTGGTCCCAGGAAAGTAAGTTTTCTAAGAGCAAATTTTCTAAGTTGTTTCAAACAAGGAAAGTGCCAGTACACATGTGATCAGTCGTCCTTGTCACATGCCACATTCCACCTGCAGGCAGCCTTACAGTGTGCACTGCAAAATCCGCCAACCAGGAGGTTCCCGTGTGATCCTCTGCTCACTGCCCAGAGGCTCTCGGGGCGGGCAGGGCCTCGTGCTGCCTCCCGTGTGTGCATCATTTGAGGTCGCTGAGAATGTAGGTGGGACAAAGCAGAACGAAGGAGCACAGCTCAGTGCTTCATTTCCCTGTGGCCATGTTTGTTGTCCTGGCCCTTCCACAGGACCCTGAGCAGGACAGGAACCAGGGAGGGGCCTTGGCCTCGCTCCCCTGCTCAGCCTTGGATGTAGGACCTGGACTCTGGGAGTGCAAGGGATTTGGCCAGCATCACAGAGACTATAGGATTCCCAGTCATGAAGCAGGAAAGCCACAGTTCCTAAGTAAAACTTGCAAGCGATGTGGTCAGCATTTCCAAAAGAGGATGCCAGGTGCATTTTAGGGAGACGCTCTAAGAACCCGGAGAAAACATCTGTGGGTGTTCAAGACCTTGTAAAATGGCTGCAATTTCTAAATCAGTAAATACATCAACCTATTCTACAGAACAAGGCAAAACACCTGGGGTTATTTTGTTGTTGTTGTTTTTGTTTTGTTTTGTTTTGTTTTTGCTTTTTTTTAAAATTATAGTCTTCATTCTTTTGCATGTGTGTATGTGTGTGTGTGTGTGTGTGTGTGTGTGTATGGGGGGTAAAAGGCACAGGAAGTCTAATTGATAACCCTTTCTAATAAATCGTTTTAGTAATGTCAGCCAAGTAAACTGGAAGCCACACAACACTGAACATGACAGAACCAGAAGACCCAGCGATTTCTCACTGTGATCCCTTTTCAGCCGCTCCAGACTTCACTTTCCTTACCCACAACCAGGGACCCTAGCGACTAGAGGGCTGTATGTATAGAACTCAATGATGAGGATTCTCGATCAGGATCCAGGTGCCTCTGAACACTCAATTCAGGAAGAAAAGGCGGCTAGAACAAGAAAAGCTACCAGGAGTTATAAAAAAAAAATAATATAGGTCCACGAGGGACCTACTTTTTTTTTGTTTAGGTCAGAATTGCAGGGCCAGGGGAGAGGGAGGCAGGACTAAATAAATGTCACGCTCTTTCAGTTACAAAGTACATTTACCCACAGTGCTGCGTTTGATCTTTGGTAAGACAATAAACAGGACTTCTCTGTCGGCAGACTGTAAAAGTTTGGAACAGATGTTCAAAAAGTGGAGTAATCTCTACCTCTAGAAATGATTAATTAAAAGGCATGGATAGGGGCTGGCAAGTGGCATGGTGGTTAAAGGCGCTGGACTCCCACATGGCCGACCACGGTTCAAATCTCAGACCTGGCGGTTTGCTATCTCACTTCCTCTCTCTCTCTCTGTCTCTCTCTGATCAAACTGGAAAATAATAATGATGATAATAACAAATAATAAACAGTTACATAAAATAATTCTTAAAAAAAAAAAAAAGGCATGGATAGTGCTCTCTCATCCCTGGTAAGGGTGTACCGTAGGGAAACAACTTTATCTGAGCACAAGGAAACTGAAGTTCTAGTCCTAGTTCTGCATTAAATGTGTATCCTTAGAAGAACCATTCAGCATCTCTGGATTTTAGTCACCTCTGTCAAATGAAGGGATATGTGTACATAGTGCATTATGGTTTAAATAATGGTTTGTGTCCCCCCCACCCCCCAACGTACAAGTTGTTGAAGCTTGGTCTCCAGTATAATGGCTTTGGGAGGTGAGAAGACCTTTGAGATGCAGGGCCTAATGGCTGGGGACATGAGGTGATGAACAGGGGAAGTGGGGAATTCTGTTTCCGCTCTCCTTGCACGTGTCAGCCCTCTCCTCCATGTCTGGCAGCATGTGATGTAGCAGCAGAGGCTGGCCTGATCCTGGCCCCACACCTCTGGACTTCCAGCCCCCAGAACTGCGAGCCAACTAAACCTGTATTCTTTATCAATTACTCAGTCTCAGGTATTTGTTTAGTGAAACAATAATGGACTAAGACAGAGGGGCAAGAGGACACTCTAGAAATATGGAGGACTAGATCATCTGAAAGCTTTCTTCTAAAATGCTTCCAAATTGGTAGGCAGAAAGAAAAATAGAGCACGCCGAGGAGAATAAACTTTGTTCTCCAAGCCCATTTTCAGCTCCGACATTCTCTAATCTTAAATCTGGCCTGCAGAAGTGACTTTTTGAAGCACTCCAAGAATCTGGCTCTTTTCAGACGGCTGAAGGTTACACTAAGACTTGGAGGTGCAGTCTGAGAACTAAGAGCTGCGGCAGGGGCTGTGCGTTGCTGGTATTTTACCATAATCAGAATCCAGTGTGGCAGAAACAACCTGACTGAGTGCTGGAGGGGTTCCTACAAAGAACCTGATGTGCTCAAGTTGCCTGATAATCTTTTCTTGGGGCAGGTGTTTACTAAAGGCAACTGCTCTGGCTACAGCTTCAGGAGGACAACTGGCACCCTCAAGACCTGTCACAAGGGCAGCTTCCTAAAAGTTTGTAAATAGAGATGTTGATCCAGCCCCATTCTCGCACCCACTCAGCTGTACTCTTCAAAGAGCTCTGTGAGAAGCATCCGTGTGCCTGGAGGACCACCCTGCATCCCAGGAGAGAGTAACCATTGCCCCAGTACTTGCTGTGGCTGTACCTGAGCTCCCTATGACAGCCAGCATCTGTCCACTTCTCACTTTGAAGCTCAGGTTCTGGATGCCCAGCTCGCGAGAGTCTTGGCTGTTGCGAGATGTCCAAGGCATCTTGAACTGAGCCAGTTGCTCAAACCAAGGCACCTGGGAGGCCGTGTCTACCTGCGGGGAGACATCAGGAAGGTCCTTGGAGAACCAAACGGCTCAGAGGGCTTCAGCTACTACTGATGGCCCCGTGCCCATGTGGCCCTGTCCATAGGGGACATCCCCTTGCTGATATACCACAGGCCTGTGGCACCCCCACCCAGGTTCTACCAAACATGAAAACCAGACCTCACCATGCTGAGAACCTGAACTAAGTTTCCAAGTCTGAAGACGAATGAAATAGAAAGTATGTGCAATAGCAGAGCAAAAATAAAAATACAACATGAAACAAAATGTCTTCACTTCAAAATAGTAACTTACTAATACCTTAACAAGTGTTTACTTTGTGTAAGATATTACGTTAATTGCCTTTTATTCATTATCTTATTTGCTCCTTATTGCAAACCTATAACATGGGTACTATCGTAATCCCTGTTTTACAGACAGGGCTAAGAACAGTTAAGTAACTTGCTCAAGATCACACAGCTAGTAAGTGGCAAAGCAGAGAAAGTTTATGGCGCGACTCATTAGCTTGTCCTAACTCACACCCACAGGGAACCAGACTAGGGCCTTGGAGGTTCAGCATTCTAGGCTCCTCCATGTTCTATCTGGGTAATACATGGTGTGAGGCTAGGGATCTTTGAATCTGATCAGCAGAGTTCTGAGAGCTTCTGATAGACCAATGGTTATTCTTGCACTCTAGATGTTTAATTAGCCCTGAGACAGTACATTTTACTTAAAATTAAAACAAAATAAAAAACCTATCTGTCTAAACTAGTGAGATGTAAATAAGGTCTGTAGTTAATGGCATTTTACATTGTTAATTTTTTAGTTTTGTTGATTATACTATGGGTATACAAGATTAGGAGAAGTTGAGCAAAGGATATATTATTTTTGGAATTTTTTAAAGTCTAAAATTATTTCAAAATATAAAAGTTAAAGAGTTCTAGAGGTTCCCCTCCACCCCCAGGTTCACAGCTTGTTTTATGTTTTCACAAGGACCTCATTCTCTAGTCACGCTCCAACCTCCCTGCTATAGCTTGGGCCATTGGCAAGTGAGGGAGGGCTCCATGGTGTTTGCACCCAGAAGTGAGGCAGCAACGTGGCCTAGACTCTGTCCTTGTGGATAGAGGACCTTCTAGGAGGGCTGGCCTGTCCCTTCTCCTTGGGAAATTGTTTGCCCCTGCCCACGCCTTCTCTTTCAACCCAGACATGTCTCTACCTGGTAGCTGAGGTCGCTGACCTCCAGGGTGTTGGACGGGCCACTGTAGGTGAAGTACAGGCTGTTGTCACTTTCAGAGGAAAACAAGCTGTCCTGGAGGCCCTGCTAGGAGATAGAGAAGGTGAGGAGCTCCTTCAGGAGCCACTGAGAACAGAGGAGAAGACAGAGGAGTGGGCCCAAGGGGTGAGGGCAGCAGCTAACGTGGTTCACGTTCCAAACTTGCAGGAGATGGGTGCACACAGGTAGAGCCCGAGGCCTTCGAGGAAACAGGAGCAGGGATGAGGACAGAGCTCTACCCTTCAGAGAGGGCTCTGGGGCTTCTCAGTACAACTCTGCCTCAGAGAACCTCAGCCTCAGGCTAAGGATGCTTCTGGAACATGAAACCCAGGCTGTGGCCTGGAGCCAGCAGGTAGGCCTCTGGGCTCTGGGCAGACCTCCCTGGGAGCTGGCAAACCCTAGGCCTTCCACAACCTGCATCTAGACTAACGCCTCCAAATGCCAGACAGACATCACGTGCAGGGAAACAGCTGCCAACAAGGTCATCGAGACAGTCACTATCCAGCCTTTTGTGACGAGGCCATCCCAAGAAAAGTCCCATTCTATTTCAAGGAGAAGTTTTGCACAACAAAGCCACTGAAAACGTAGATTTCAGATGCAGTCCCTGTCATATGTCACCGCGGCCACCCTCTCGGATGTCGTTTTGCCGGGGAGGCGGTACACGTGAACATGAGTTGGCAAGCCATCCTTCCATGGTGTCAGCTGATACCTTCAAATGGCATTTTTCCTCTGTGGACCTGAATTCCCTGTTCCATTAATTCAGGCATAATCATTTACATCTTTGAGGCCCAAACAAAGAACTTACCGAGATTTTCATTTTTTTTAACTTTATTGTATTTATTTCTTCAGAGAGAGGGAGAGAGAGTACTTGCAACAGGTTCTCACCAAACCACAATCCCCCCGGCCTCCCAGCCAGGTGCACGGGAGTGCCCAACATGTTTAGGTCATCCCGGGATCTGAACCTGGGCCTCCCCTATCGGTGGATGGTACTGCACCCTACCGTGGTACCTGTGCCATCGCAGTGGCACCAGGTTTCCATTTTTAATGCAGTCCATTTCTCCTCTCCTTCCGTAGTGCAGGAAAACGCTCCCATGGATATTTTTCCTTCAGAGCTGCCATTGCTCACACAGGCCTGTTCCTTTAACCAATCAAGCATCCAGCAGATACTCATCGGGAGCCCACACCACACTTCAGGCTGACAGTGAAAAAGACAGGGGAGCTTAGATTTCAGGGGACAAGACAGGCGATTAGGATGAAGCAAGACAGGTGAGGCATAGAGGCAGGCTGACTCAAGCACCTGAAAGGGTGTATTTACACAATACACACGTGCCACATATGAAAATCACATGACTGAGTTATGTGAATATAATATCTGACAGTCTCTTTGTCAAAGACCAGAGAAGGAAGAGAGCAATAATTAAAGGCGACAATTTGCTCTAGGCACCCTACAAGACCCCCAGGAGGAAGACAGCAGAACAGAGCTACTTAGGCTCTTTCATATTTCAACTCTCATCATAAAGACCCCAAATCATACAATAAAAACATGGGGAACACAAACACCTAATTCAGGAGAGGGCTTGTCTCTGGGGCATGGGGAGAGATAGCTTGCTATTCTTTAAATAGATTTGTTTGAAATAGTTCACAATTTGTCTTCAAATTGAGAGAGCAAGTCCACGAGTAACTTTCCAGAGTCCGACTAACACCTCCACCTCCAGCTGCCAATCCCCTGTGGCAGGAGGGAGAAGTGGGGGTGGAGGGGGCAAGAAGTCTGCACCTTCTAACATGGAGATTGGAGGTCCTAGGGAGATCAAGAGTAGCTCAGGAAGCTTCCAGAGCCCAGCAGGTCAGCCCTGCAGCCCACCCACACTCACCATCTCTACCACATTCACTGCCTCATTTTTCCATTGCATTTTGTAAAACTTTCAGAAGTTCTGTCAATTGCTAAGAGATTTATTTGGGCTAATATATCTTAATATCGCTTTTACGGCATAGGATATGTGTGTGTGTGTGTGTGTGTGTGTGAAAGAGAGAGAGGAATAAAACACATCCCAACAGGGCCTGGTTGTGCCAAAATCCTTTTTCTTCTGATCAGAATTTGGAGCATATGTGTGACCAGCATGTTTTCCAAGCTCGAGGACTGGGATTGAACCCCATGTGAGATCCGTTGCCCACTGTACAACTCTCAGCTGCTGTGCCGCAGGGCTGGTCCCGCCATTGTTTTTAAGGCACACATCTGCAGAAGTGGTATATGTCAATTGGCATATGATTAATTGGCATGAGTTGGCGTGAAACTTGCTTCTGCTGGCCACAAGCTACCCAAGTTGGACTTAGGGATGGAGGAGCTACTGAGGAAGGAGAGCCAGACATTCGGGGTCTGGAGCAATGTTTGGGGTGACTTCGAGCGCGGGCGGGTTCAACTGTGCTGTCCTTTGAGAAGGAGGAGGGCCCTAGCACCCAGGGGAAGAGACATAAGGATGAAAGACAAATAAAAGCAAGGGAAGGTCTGGCTCTGTGGCCTAGTGGTTAAGACAATGGGCTCCCACATGGTCGACCCTGCCTTTCCAGTCCTGGCAGCTTGAGAAACATGATGGGCGCGTGTGCCCAAAATCATGATGGGCGCGTGTGCATGTGCCCAAAATCCCAGAAGGAGAGAGACACGGAGAAGGAAATGTGGTACGACCATTCCCTGTGGCGATGCATTCTCTCTTCTACCTCTCTCTCCATCTCTCTTTGGTAGCACATGCACCAAAAAAGAAATAAAAGGAAGGGGAGAGGCTCTGAGGACCCCTAGACTCCCTTCGTCCTGGGGTAGGTAGGCAGGCGTGGATCAGCCCAGAACGCGGCCACCATTGAGAGATTGTGCTTTCTGGGAGCTGCACGAGAAGAATACTCGTGCCTGGATTGGGGACAACTTCTGTTCCATTTTAAAATATTTTCCTTGGCTCCCAGGAAGGATTTGTTAGATTCTTCCTGAGGTTTTGACAAACTCTCTGTATTTTTCAAATACTTAAATATCTATTCGGCTGACATCTTAATCAGTATGACTGTCAGAACATCACTTGAATTTCTGACAGGTGACACCCAAAAAAGCAAAAGCAGGTTTATTTGTAGGTAACCAGCTCAGCTCCTGCTGGGCTACATTGTAATTTCTCCTTGTATTAACTTCTGATCAAAGCCCTGCGTCAGAGCAGACAGAAAGGAAACGGGGAGCGGAGAGCGTGCCTTCTGCATTCTGGATGAGCGGCCTGTGCCCCAGGAAGCAGTGATGTGCTGAGGACTCCTGCCGCGGGGACACACCTGGGTCTTCATGGAAGTGCTCAGACTCCATCTCACACAGCTCTGCCCTGAGGCCTGACCTCTGTCGTCCTCCTCTGGCCCTGCTCTGGCGAGGAGTGAGGAGTTTGTGGGACAAGAGCACTGCCGTTCCAGGTACTCGAGATGCCAACATCCCTGTGCAAGCAGCCTCAAGCCCCTGCGAGAACCTCCTCTCAGGCCCATTGCCCTGAGTGCTGGAGGCGCCCCAGAGCCCCTAGACCAGGGGCACCTGTCTGTGTAGGGCATGGATGGGCTATGGATGGGCAGGCTGGAGTGACCACACAGGAGTGCACGAGGTCCTTTGTGTAGTAGGACGGAGCTGGGGGTGAGCAGAGGACAGCAGGCTGTGGCTTGGGCTGGAAGCTGACCATCTCTGGTATCGCATTCTAGCTGCAACCCTAAGACGCTTTAGAATTTCTAAATGTACGCCTGGGCTTTCCAGGTTGTGATGAAGGAATGTCAAGGTAAGAGGAAGATATTTGGTAGTTTTTAGCTTAATTGATCACTTTCATTAGCAGTATTTTAATTTTTGCTATAGGGCATGTACATGCACAGAAAGAGAGAAGGAAAGTAAGAAATCACCCCCCAGGGGGATGGCCCACCACAAACACCCCCCCACCCCGGCATGATATTCAAGTTGCCAGGTTTGGGACTAGAACTGCACAGCTGGCCATGTGGAATCCAGTGCCTTAACCTCCACACCACCTGCTGGCCTCAATTGATCATTTTTATTATTAATTTTTTTAGAGAGATTATTGATATAGGGCATATGCACTCGCTGGAGAGACAGAAAGAGACAGACAGAAAGCAAGAAATCACCCCTCCCCGGGGGGGCATAGCCAACCACAATTCCTTTTCCTCCATTCTCCTTTTGAGACTTTGGGCATGCACGCACACACGCCTGGCATGAATTTTTAAGTCACCGACTTGGGGGGAGTCCAGCGACATAACTATTATGCCATCTGCTGGTCCCCCGGCATGAGTTTAAGCCACCGGATTCAGGACTCAAACAGCGGTCAACTATATGAGAGTCCAGTGACATAATCACTATGCCATCTGTTGATCCCCTGATTACCTTTTTTTTTTTTAAGAATTTTTTTGCTATGGGGCCT